TACAATGCCGCATGGATACCAGCTACTCCACTGAGATACAATGCCGCATGGATACCAGCTACTCCACTGAGATACCATGCCGCATGGATACCAGCTACTCCAGAGATACCATGCCGCATGGATACCAGCTACTCCAGAGATACCATGCCGCATGGATACCAGCTACTCCAGAGATACAATGCCGCATGGATACCAGCTACTCCAGAGATACCATGCCGCATGGATACCAGCTACTCCACTGAGATACAATGCCGCATGGATACCAGCTACTCCAGAGATACCATGCCGCATGGATACCAGCTACTCCACTGAGATACCATGCCGCATGGATACCAGCTACTCCACTGAGATACCATGCCGCATGGATACCAGCTACTCCAGAGATACAATGCCGCATGGATACCAGCTACTCCACTGAGATACAATGCCGCATGGATACCAGCTACTCCAGAGATACCATGCCGCATGGATACCAGCTACTCCACTGAGATACAATGCCGCATGGATACCAGCTACTGCACTGAGATACAATGCCGCATGGATACCAGCTACTCCAGAGATACAATGCCGCATGGATACCAGCTACTCCACTGAGATACAATGCCGCATGGATACCAGCTACTCCACTGAGATACCATGCCGCATGGATACCAGCTACTCCACAGAGATACAATGCCGCATGGATACCAGCTACTCCACAGAGATACAATGCCGCATGGATACCAGCTACTCCACAGAGATACAATGCCGCATGGATACCAGCTACTCCACAGAGATACAATGCCGCATGGATACCAGCTACTCCACTGAGATACCATGCCGCATGGATACCAGCTACTCCACTGAGATACAATGCCGCATGGATACCAGCTACTCCACAGAGATACAATGCCGCATGGATACCAGCTACTCCACTGAGATACCATGCCGCATGGATACCAGCTACTCCACTGAGATACAATGCCGCATGGATACCAGCTACTCCACTGAGATACAATGCCGCATGGATACCAGCTACTCCACTGAGATACCATGCCGCATGGATACCAGCTACTCCAGAGATACCATGCCGCATGGATACCAGCTACTCCAGAGATACCATGCCGCATGGATACCACACTCGCACACAGTATTCTGCCTCCGAGCCCACTAGTCCTTGTTTCATCCCTATAAAACCGAGCGCCAGGCAGGGTGACAAGTTCCATAGTTTAACGACTATTGGCATGACAAGGCCAATATACATTTTGATGAGTGAAAGCTGATCCTAAATTTTGGCATCTCGTACCAAAGACAGAGTCTTTAATAGACATGAAATTTTCGCCGATAGCTGAATATTTTCTTCAGTATGGATAAGCAAGAATCTCTTTCCACAGCCACAAACGTCACGCATACAAGAACTCCATCGCACGCTTTACCTGACGGCTAGGAGGGAAATATGGATACGATTATATTGTGCGCCTTCAAACCCACTTAAATCTGTGTCAGACCCATGAAGTTCCGGGGTAGAACAGGTTTTCAGCATCCCATCCTTGCCGTAAAAGGCGACTGTGCTGGTCGTAAGAGGCGACTAACGGGATCGGGTCGTCAAGCTTGCTGGTTGATGCATGTTATCGATCCCAATTGCGTGGATCGATGCTCATGATATTAATCACTGGATTGTCTGGTCCAGACTCAATTATTTACAGACCGCCGTCATATATGTGGAATATTGCTGAGTGCGGCGAACAAACAACTCTGTCGTTTAGGACACACAACAAACTAAGGATATTTCTGAAAATGTTTATTTGAAGGCTCCGTTGATAACAAGCCTCACTGACTCTGGGCACAGAGACAAAAAGGACAAATAAAAAGCATTTGATAACCCATTGTAAGAGTTAATATGAATGGAATTCCGGGATTTTTCACATGATTAAGAAATATAAATGGTCCAGATTTCCTTAAATTTTACAGGATATAAAACGAGGAATATGATAATTTTATTTGAGAACTGACACTTTCATTCAGGTTCTCGGTGTAAAAAATAACAAGAAGATAAAAAAGGTTTGTGTAAAGTTAGATGAACTCTAATATGTGTATGAAACTGGCAACAAGAAACTGCCATTTTAGAATCTATGTCACACATGGCAATGTCAAGGACAACTGAGAACATGGCGATATCTAGTAATGCAAGACCTGTGCAAGAGACGGACACAGGGCTCAACTTGATACAAGAGAAAGGTTATAGAAAAGACAGTCATGAATAAAATGTTGCATAAATTTTACAAGATGTCTGTGTGTGCTGTGATGAGCAATTCAAGTGAACACACAAAAAACGAAGCCATTAACACACAAGACATCAACATGTACAAATAACAGTACTTCAGAGCGTACACACAAAGTAACTTCAAGATAAGAGCAATTTTCATCTCCAATTGAAGCAACCATTGTGGGGATGAAGTCCTACATAAGATGGCTCTGAAACTGCATTGATCTTCAGCAGCCCCTAAAACAACTGGAACCTATTCATCAAAAGTCACAAATGTAAGAATTCTCAAATGCTTCTAAAAGTAGGCAAGTATTAAAACTGTTGAAAATTAATTATCTTCAAAAGACTGATGTCACAGGTTTGTTTTGTTTGTTTGTTGTTTAACGCCGCAATCAGCAATATTCCAGCTATATGACAGTGGTCTGTAAATAATCGAGTCTGGACCAGACAAGCCAGTTATTGACATGGTGAGCATCGCTCCACGCAACTGGGATACAATGACATGCATCAACCAAGTCACTAAGCCTGACCACCCGATCCCGTTAATCGCCTCTTATGACAAGCATCGTCGCCTTTTACCGCAAGCATGGGTTGCTGAAGACCTATTCTAACCCGGATTTTCATGGGTCGATGTCACAGGCCTAACACAGTAAGAAAGGTAGTTTAAGGCCCCTATGAACAGCAATGTAACAGCCTGTGGCAGAAAACTCAAAATGACATGGGCACAGGAGGTGTCTACCAAAAGGGTACACTGAAACCAACAGACTATGGTGTTGACAGACTATGAATTATCAGCATGTTCAAACTGGGATTCAAACCCACACGGCACAGTCAGCAGATCCTGGCACAGCTAATTATCAGAGACAAAGACAAACAGGATGATTAATGTAATTGTAACATGAAGATAATGTGATACCTGTTACAAGGCTATATTCAGATTGGTGGAGTTGAACTTCTTGAGATACACTGTCCTGTTGACCTTGCAGATGATGGCTAGTCCGGAGGCTTGACCACAGCAGGTAGCGGTCAGATCATGGCAATGAATCTATCAGAATGCGTCTGTATATACATGCAACAGGTCTTGTAACATTTCTTGGAGAACCAGGGGTCCGTATCACAAAGTAATCAGAGCGGAACGATTGTCGACACTCTTATAGTCCAACATAAACTAACAACAGTTGTAGCGCTACGACTGTTATCAGTCTAGCTTAAAGTATTACGTGAACAATCCTAACACTAAATGGCTTCCCATGCTCAACCAGCACTGCCACAGCACTGTGCACTGCAGTACATCAATGCATTTTATTTCAACCACTTTTGGGCAGCTCATCAATGCAGCAAACTTGTCAATGATCAGAAAAAGACAAAATCAAATCACAGTTTTCTTTTCATCCGGATATGACATCATAAAAAGGGAATTCCCAAAGCATCTTTTTTTGCGAAAGATTTCTTACTGCTGTTGCTGTGCTGTGTTACTTAAGATCGACTATCTCAAAACAACCAGATCAATTTTTCGTGTTGGGAGGGGTTTGAACCACTATGAGACTGGCCCTTGTTACAGGAAGCATTTGTGTCATTGCTGAAACTGTCTTTCAAATCCACAGGCATCACAGTCAACCCAAATAAAGCACTAAACACCACATCTAACAAAAGCCTCTTGGTTGAGAATGGTAGGAAGTTCCATGGCAAAGAAGTTCATCATTGTTCCTCAGTAATGAATAATGCAATGTCAACATACATCTACAAAGCACCTTGAAATCACTGACATATACACACTAACAATGAGTTGATTAGGCGATTAGTGTATGCCATCATTTAGTACTCAAGAAACGTTGAGGACCACTTGAATCTTTCATATAACATGTACTTTAGTTAATCTGTCTTGGCATGACAGATAACTAGAGTAATCCGAAACATCAGTTGGTGCTTAACTTTTATAGAGTAGTATAGTATGAAGGTCATTCTGTGTGTGTTTTCTTTCAAGATATTCCAAGAACCCACTGATTAATCCTAACCATTACTCTACCATATTAAAACTACTCACACTATGCAGTACTAACATCATGATTAATAAATTAAATTATCAAAAACGACGAAATATATTACGCTGAAAAAACCTCTTTCGAGCATTACACTGACAAACAAACCCCTACCCAGCTTGAGTTCAACAATACAATTAAACATTTAAAAAAACAAAACATATCTTGTGAAGTTAAGTATGTCCTTGACAAGCAACAATTACAGATAACCTTTCTCACTAAAAAACAAATTGTCTCCTCAAATAAACAATACCACAAAATACACAGATGCTGCTCTAAAATTGATTCATCAGGTGGCAACAAAATAATTATTTGTTCTTCAGAGCATTGTTTCAAAAATTGAGAATACAGAATAAAATTGAATTAGATATTTTGAAACTAAAATATTTCTTTGAAGACAAAAGACTTTGCTATATCTTATGAGCATCTTTCCAGTTCATAAACAGAAAGAACATTAACGATGAAATAGCAGTGAATCTGCCATGACAGATTAGTGAGTGAGTGAGTGAGTTGGGTTTTATGCTGCTTTTAACAGTATTCCAGTTATATCACGGCGTGTCAGCTTAATGTGTGCAGGTCTCAGACGTTTACCACTTCGGTGAAACCCACGAGCACGGGTATGGTGCTGACAAACCTAGAAACATAATCGGGGCGAACCGGGATTCGAACCCACAATCATAGGTTTCTGGTGTGCCCAAGGGACCGACTCTGCACAGCGAATCGTGGCGCCTTAGACGACTGGGCCACTCGTGCCCCCCCATGACAGATTAACCATAGCAATATAAAATAATTGTGCGCTCTTTAACTTCTTTTGAGTAGTATATTTGACATCAACGGGTACCAAGCAATGGTATGTAAACAAATGGCCCTGTTCTAGGGTTTATGATTGATACCAAAACCAAAAATATAATTTTCCTACTGAAGAACAAATAGATTTGTTGTTGCCATGTAGCCTTTCTGTCAGGTCTTATCCACTAGTGTCAAAATACCATTGAGGGTATTCCTGTTCCAAGAATTTCAACTAATGACACAAATCAGATCCACTCTGAAGCTAATCATCAAAGTAGTGGTCATATATTCTCAGCAAAGCCTTATTTGCATAAAATTCAACGTGTAGATGCTTCCCTCTCTGTTTAGGAGGGATCCTGGATAAACAGGAGATCTGTGCCACAGGAAATAATCAAATCATTAGTGTAGTACACTGAAATGAGTAGTGTTAACCTTAAATGACTTCCGCCAATATTTCTCAATGTACGGAACCCACAAAACCCTACTTCTAAAGGTTGATCAGCACAGAAGGCATGGTTCCATAAAAGATACTCTTCACATATTCTTCATAATAGAAGGAGAATTCAACAGTGAAATCTGTATGTAAATATCATTAAAAATGTAAAATATCATTAAGAACATTCATATCAGAGCCCTGTTCCTCAAAGCCATCTTAGCACTAAGATGATGTTAACTATACAACAGAGCCGTCAAAGTTGCACGACTCCTATCACTTTTAGGAGCAAGAACCTCAACGTCTCGGAAACGTTACGTTACAATGCTGTTCTATAGCTGAGACAACTACTTCCAAACATTGTGTAGACTAAAACCAAACTCAGTGCTAAGATCGCCTTGCACATGTAGGCCTAGTGCTGTAACCATCATAAGAATACAAGATTTTTTAAGCCTGTGTTTAAAATTAAGAACGAAAATGGAAGGTTGATGGTCCTGATGTCTTCCTTGATGAGGCAGAGGATCTCTGATACACGCTGTAAATCTCAAGGACACACAGTAAATTCAAACACTAAAGCGTCAGACTTCTCTGTTCAAAAGTAAATTTAGTTAAAATAATAAGGCCACACAATTGTAATTTTTGTTTCACGGCCCCACCTCCCCTACTGAAATGAAGCTGAAAAAGAATTGAAAGAAACAAGTATTTATTTTTAATCTGTCTCCGGCAAGTAACATAGTCCCTCTTAGACAATAAAAAATGTTATAAATAAATTCCATGTCTACATCACTATCAGTGATTCAAGAAGTCACCTGCAGTTTGAAATCCACAGAAGAATGACTTTATAAATAAATAAATAAATGATTGACATAGCTATTTACATTTATTTTTATTTCGACCGACCTTGTGTGGAAAAGCTGGAATAAATCCGTGAAACATAAAATCCAAAAAGTGTGGCCTACATTCCATATAATTTGGTACACAGTGGGAAAGGTTTCAGAGCGTAACATGACTTAACCAGAACAAACACTAACAAATACATACATAATCTATATATGCTGCCCTTCCAGAACGTTGTGACAATGATATCAGCACAGAGGGGAGGATGAGTGACATACGTCGATAACATATCAATAAACCTCTCACACTGTACAAAGCGTAACCCAGTATGGTAACAAACATGAAACAGACACTATGTACATTAACGACTCTAATTTCATCACACTCTACAATTACAACCACATCAACAGCGTCCTACTGAAGTCAACATGACTACATTTCATCACGGACACGGAAATCATTATTTTCATTTCATACAGTTTATTCAAAATTGATGATGGCAGCATAATGTATTATTTTTCATTTTTCTTAAAATTCATGCTGCTGTCTTCCAAGTTGGTATGAAAATCTCTTAATCAACTCCTTCTGGTCTTGTGAGTTGGGTTTGTCAGTCCATGCCATGAATAACATGAATAACATATGAACAAAGTGAATCTGTCCCTCTGCTGGTGGGACAGAGAGTGCAGTGATCTATCTTACACAAGGAATATTTACAAATGAGAAACAAAATAGATTAATAATTTATCAGGTTAACAAAAGCCAGTTGTCATCCATACATTGCACTTTTACAGTGACACATGATCTCATCTCCTACCCCTCTACCTTGCAGTTGGAAATACTTAACAATCCATTTCATACATACATTATCAAAAAGATAAATGTTATCCTTATAAATGTTAACAGCATGAAACAAAATCGGCAGGTTTGAGGCTACTGCTAAGGTCAAGGCATGTTGGCAAATGAATTGAAGTATCTCTTAAATTCAAAACAAACTACATTCCTTAAAACTGACCTCTCTTCCCTTAATCCTGTCTTTTCTTGGCATAGTGGACCATGAAATATGTAAAGTTTGTTTGTTTGTTTGTTGTTTAATGCAACATTCAGCAATATTCCAGATATATGACGGCGGTCTGTAAATAATCGAGTCTGGACCAGACAATCCAGTGATTAATATCATGAGCACTGATCCACGCAATTGGGATAGATGACATGTATCCTCTTACGACAAGCATACCCCGGTAGTCGAATATGTAAAACCGAAAGTCAAATTGGACTCCATACAGTCAACCACTTTTCTTGTCAATATGTTTTGACATTCCTTGGGATGTAAACTCGACAGCCAATTTCTCAGTATGAACATGAGAAAATGTTTTGAACCTCTTTTCAAAAGTCATAAAAAAGAGGAATTATTTTAGCTACTGGAATGAGGTCAAATCGACTGAAAGAATTTAAATTGCAATGCAGTGGGAAAGGGAATACCACATCCACCCATAGCATGTCTTAAGATTAAGGAAGCAATTAGTAGCATGACAATGTTCACAAGGTCCATGTGTCACATAAACAGAGAGAATAGTTCTGCTATGGGAAGCTCAAGAACGCCTGGTAAACTTCATGATCTTCAAATGATAAATACAAAAATAATTAACCAATGTATGGGGAGTTAGCAAAGGAAACACGGATACATGGTTCAACATGTGTCGCTGGGGCACCTATTGTCTTTTCATAGAATATTGACAGAAGTACACAAATACTGACTATTGCAATCTCACCTACATCTACACTATGAAATCCACTGCCAACAGCAACAGAAACCACTAAAGCAGTAGATTTGGGCTGTCAAATGACATTCACTGACATTCTATAGACATCATTACAGTAGTATCAGCGTAATGTACTCGGTACGCTATATATATTACCAGACACTACCAGCTAAAACACTCTACTATCTGCTACCCACGCTCTACATCCGTGGGGTTGTACTGCATAAATAAATAACATTCCATCATATATATACTGGAAGAGTTCCCTGGTCTGTACAACAGAGGAACCAGCTTCAAACTGTAACATAAATACAGGAGGGTCCATTCTATTTACATTGTGTGTGCAGGGTTCTACACTGCGGATACTGTAGGATTATTATGAGTGAGTGAGTGACTGACTGACTGACTGAGTGGACTGAACATGACTTCCATCAGTTTTTCAGTTAGATCCTGGGTACAACTTAAAGGAAGGAAGAGCCAGTGCATGTCAGACACTAGAATTGTGCAACCCGTGACCACAGGCACCACACACACCAAGGATCATGTGGAATCTCATCCCATTAACACTGGATCCTGTCAACAAAGGGGTGCAACTCTGCACAGCAAGTTGTGATGACATAGGTCACTCGGTCTTCCATAACCTCATTATGCCAGAGATCACCATTAACACGCTTCAGTGTGCAAAGACGTGTCCTGGGATCCTTTCCACATAGCGATCGTACCACTAAGACGATCATAACTCCTTCACTTTAACACAAGACTTACGACAGTTGTGGTGCTACGATTGTCTTGTAGAACGGGGCAGTGGGATCATTGAGGTCTGCTCTAGTATTTGAATCTTGGGACCCTAAATCCTTAACTTTTACAAGGGCAATAAATGACCCGTTGACTTTCATGCTTTATTTAAGCACTGTACTATATGACTCCACTTTTGATAAGGATCTCCTTATCTTTCATTGATACACAAAACTGATGCTGTCAATAAGTCCAGTGTATGTTTAAAACAATGACACATCTGAATATCCCTATCCTGAATGAAGTAGTACGTTATCAACCTAACGATCAAATGATGTTTGGGAGACCTAAGCAAACATGTACACCACAAAGTGATTTTCAAAATAGACATAATAAATACTTAACCTAGTGAAGGGCAAAGCTAAACTCTAGTTCCAGCTTACTTTCACATGGAATGGACAGTGCTTGCCAACCCACAGCAACTCACAGACTGTCATTTAACCAGTTAAAAAGAGCCTATCACTTGCCTTATTCGCACAGCAGTCAGTTCAGGAGCAATTATTTTATAATTCTATAAATCACTCTACTTATCACTGCTATCAGACAAACGTGCTGAGCACAGGATGAGGGAGGGTGAGCTACTAGTCCGGTTGATCATAATTGTGATAAGCTAGATATTCACAAGGTCAAGTCAACAAAGGGACACGACTCTGTACAGCCAGTTGGACCAGCTGGGCCATGGTGGTGAGATACACATGTTATTGTATGTACCATTCATCGTGAGTGGAGGAGGAGTGAGTGGTGGGGTATAATGATGCTTTCAGCAATATTCCAGCAATACAATGGCAGGGGCACCAGAAATGGACTCCACACATGTGGGGAATCATACTTGATCTTCAGTGACGAGCAAATGCATTAACCACTAGGCTATCCATTGCCAGGCAAGATGTTGCTTCAGTGAAATACACCATTATAATCAGCAGTCTATGCAAGGACTAGCAAGCAGCATTGTGTCCATTCTTACAATATGTGAAATTACAAAATATCTAGTAAACCTAGAAACAAAACACACTCTCTATCCTTGTCAGGTATTTCAGTTGGCTGCACTCAAGGAGTACTAAAATATTAAAATTACATTAAAAATAAATCTAACTTCATCCATGCAAATATATTTTGCTTAAAAATGACATTATGAACAAAATATGCGAAAATGATGTCTGCTCTTGTCTTGATATTCTGAGTCATTATATTATTTATATTTATCTAAAACGCAAATGGATGAATGCTACACTTCTAAATAGCAATATTGCACTTTGACCACATAAAATTTACATCATTAAAATCAGATCATAATGCATCACAAAGGACAACCCAGCACACATGAATCTACACGACATGTTAAGATGATTACCAAAAAATAAACATATTCTCTCTTAAACTCAAAAGCTGCAACAACTAAAACATTTCCTAACAAGTACAGTGTATTCCAAAAACAAGTGAACATTAACAAATACATGTAGTTGTGGTTGATTTTGAATGATATTTTAAAAGGGATGACTTATGAACATACAGGCAACATGCTTGGTATTTACAATGACCTGATGAACAGATGAAATTACAAATGAATTTAAAATACTTGAATTCAAGGCGAAGCCAAGATGACCCTCTTCATGAAGTAATATATACACCTCCTGCAAGAACATGGGACACGCTACACACAAGCATGTTTCTCTGTGTGAAGTGTTCGCAGGTCCAGCAAAGATGGAGTACTCTGAATCTCCTATTTACTCCATCTGTGCGTCACGTTACTGGTCAAGGGAAACACTGGCACTGACAAGTGTCACAGGTCCACAATCTCATGCAGTGTCCCTTGGCTTCGATGACAGCATGAGCTCCTTGATTCTCTCGGGTGTTGGACCCCACTTGGCAAATCCAGCCTCATTTTGCAAGAATATTACTAATGTTCCATGGGCTGACTTGTAGTTCATATCTTGCCTGAAAAAAAATAAATGTCAGTTGAAAAAATAGGGTTAAATTTAGATATCTACAAACAGTGTTCGAAATTAAGTCAAGGGGTCGCCGTCATAACTCTAAAGTGTGGAGGATTGAACTTACATTGCCAGCTCGAAGATAAGTGATGCTAATGAGTTAATCTAATTAGCCAACACCCTACCACAGGACCATGGGCGCTATCACAAATGATTAGTGTTTGTTTACCAAGCCATCATAAAGGGGTGCTTGATTGGAAAGGGGATCCAAGGGCCAAGTATAGAGATGGGGTAACCCAACCTCACCCTAACACAACTAACCCTAAGGATTGAAGAGGCAAGTGAGATATGTGAAGGGAGAGTCACAGTTGTCACAGAGTCAATTAGCGCTGTCTTAGGCTGCTCCCAGTGCTACCTATGTTTAAAGCCAGAGACAGCAATCTTCTAGCTATGTCAAATGAGTGTGTACAGAATCAAGTGTGTCACTATGATGATTAATCGGCTATGAGTGAGTGAGTGAGTTGGGTTTAACGCCGCTTTTAACACTATTCCAGTCATATCACGGCGTGTCAGCTTAATGTGGGAGGAAAGCCCGAAGTGATGCAGGTCTCAGACGTTTACCACTTCGGTGAAACCCACGAGCACAGGTATGGTGCTGACAAACCTAGAAACATAATCAGGGCGAACCGGGATTCGAAACCCACAATCATAGGTTTCTGGCGTGCCCAAGGGACGCAACTCTGCACAGCGAATCGCGGCGCCTTAGATGACTGGGCCACCCGTGCCCCCTAATCGGCTATGAAAATGATACTGATTCAGCCTAATCACCGAATGTGACCAAGTCAAACTACAGAAAGTGTTGGCCGTTGGGCCCTAATGGGTTTGTTCAACAATGAATTTTCCTTCTTCGTACTGAAATCCGACTATGTTTGCTAATTCCCTACTTTGGACAAACATGCTGAAATCCATCTCTGTACTGATGCTCAAATGCAGGAAATGTAATCTGACGCCTCTTGAATCTGAAAATAGACAATATATGTCACGTTAATGTTGCAGGTTGAATGATGACACAGAAACTTGATAATGTTAAGCACATTTTGGAAGAACAACCAGTCAATGTCCTAGAATGTAAACAAATCTGAAACCCTAGTTGGACAGTTAAAACAAGTCAAGATGGATACTTCGGTTCAAGAAGATGACAACTCACTGCAGTTTAGTTTAGGTGCAACTCAACTGAACATGAGGGCCCCATTCAACAAAGTGATCGTAGCCCTATGATGATCGTTACTCCTATAGTTTAACATAGATTTAAGACAGTTGTATCACTACGACCGTTTTGGGTCACTGACCCTGAAAGAGAACATGGAGGAACATGGGTCCCCTATTTCTTAAACATGGCCCATCATTTACACAGATGGATAGTTGAGAGGTGGTGGAATAGTACTTTCATCACCTCCACTAAGGTAACAATAATGTATCAGGGATATATCAAAGATTTAAAACTACGTGTCCATGACAGGAAAATTGTGACAAAAAAAACACCAAAATTTGAAAACTAAAATGTTATTTCCAGACACACAGTGTTCGGGGCTCATACGTTTTCTGGGTCATGGCTATCAAAACATCACCACATACTGTTATATGGCAGTGTTTTTTCTTGTTAAACAATGATTATAGCTGTTACATTGTTTCTGTTGAGCTTCAGTAGATGCTCATTGCATTGTATTTGGACAATAATTAATAGTCAGGAACGTAGTACTATTTATACTATTTTAACAGTTGTCAGGAAGGAGTGAGTGAGTATGGTTTTACGCCGCTTTTGGCAATATTCCAGCAATATCACAGCAGGGGACACCAGAAATGGGCTTCACACATTGTACCCATGTCGGGAATCGAACCCAGGTCTTCGGTGTGACAAGCGAACCATTTAACCACTAGGCTACCCCACCGCTCCTGTCAGGAAGGAACTATGTTTAGATGCTAGTGTGATATGTAAACTGATATGTGACTCATGCAGAAGATTCTGCAATGTTCTAGTGCTGCTACTGGTGAGGGCACTGTGTAGAATTTTCTAGTAGTGATTTAGTGGGACAAGAGCATGTTTAGGTATCTCTCACACATTTTCATCTGAGAATACATCAAGACCAGCTTCGTATGAAGATCACCCCGGAATCCCTGCTTAGGCCCATCTCGGAAGCTTGACGACTATTACCACTCACTTTTGCTGTCACCACTGTATTTTTGTTCTTGATACAGACAACTGCCATCATATTATATATTGCCATTGAATATTGTACTACCACTCTATTGTGTATCGATGTACTGCCATTGTAATTGCTGTGCAGTAATTTCTATTCATTTGCAAACCCACTGAATTTTTTAATACATTTTTTGATTGTATACCACTTATTGGTTGTTTGTTGGCTTCAGACTCAATTCTTTTCAAACAGATTTCTGTACTTATTATGCCTCAAAGTGAGATTGACCAATCAGAGAGCAGAACTACTAACGCCACATAAACCTGTATACCGCCAGTAGAAAATTAAGATTGTTGTTACTGACCTAATATGAGACCGTATAGTGTCAGTAAGAGCCATTTTGGATTTTCCAACACCCACCTCACATATTTCACATGGAAATTCTGGTACAGAAATTTGTTATTCGACACTATTTTGAGTTTTAATATCATGAATTATGATGAGCAAAGACATTATTCACTAAAGAAACCTTTACAAATTTTAGAGAAAAAAACTTACAAAGGAGGTCACTGAGTTACAAAGAGCACCGTCATAGAGCAGTGAGTGAGTGAGTGAGTGAGTGAGTGAGTGAGTGAGTGAGTGAGTGAGTGAGTGAGTGAGTGAGTGAGTGAGTTGGGTTTAACGCCGCTTTTAACAGTATTCCAGTTACAACATGGCGTGTCAGCTTAATGTGGGAGAAAAACCCGAAGTGACGTTTACCACTTTGGTGAAACCCATGAGCACGGGTATGGTGCAGACAAACCTAGAAACATAATCGGTGAGAACCGGGATTCAAACCCACAATCACAGGTTTCTGGCGTGCCAAGGGGACGCAACTCTGCACAGCATATTGCGGTGCCTTAGATAACTAGGCCGCCCGTGCCCCGCACCGTCATAGAACATACTATAGGATGACATCACAAACAAGAAATCAAAAGAATAGACAGTAGCCTGTCGTTAGCGGAAAGCGGACTGCTGTCAAGTTTCAGTGGCCTTTAGATTTGTTTACATGCGGGCATTTCTATGATAATTCTAATCATTTTAGCTACAATACTTTCAACGTTAACATTTAGTGCTTTATTCCATTTATAACGTTTATATTTACGTTAAAGTGTTGTATATCGGTAACATATGTAATGGTCCTGCCATCATACCACTTGTATGTGTCAAGTTTTCATTTTTACACGCCATGTGCGACAATGATACTAAATAGTGTAAACACTTCGGCATATTAAATTTGTAATGGTGTTTTTAGTTGCCGTATACAGTGTCATATTAGGTTAGAAAAATATTTTTCTGCTAACCTAATATGACATCATATACGGCAACTAAAGACACCATAACTAATAATATTGTTTCAAATTGGGAATGAACACGCAACAACAGATCCTGTAGAGGTTTTACCTGCTAGACTCTAGCCTCATGAGGGCCTCTGTTGGGGGGTCTCTCCATTCGGGGATGAAAATGATGAAAGACAGAGGCTCGTGAGATTCCATCAGGAGATTCTGAAAGGAAGACAGGAAATAGTATCAATGAATTCTGTACAATTATGTACTGCTAATGTCCTACCTACTGACCAAGACATGAACCATGTCAAACGGTTGCTTCAGCAGACACCAGGACATATAAAGACATTGTACTAATACACTTTTTGCAAAATAAAATTCCAGGCTGGTAAATAAACATTTTCAACTTATCCAGAACTACTAACTGATTATGAATAATTCGACAACAAATCCTTTGCATGATAATGATTTGACAGAAACATCTTGTTAAATCTCCTTTAAACTAATAAGTATTATGACAAAAGGGTCTTTGTTTTGTTTGTTTATTGCCACACACAGCAATATTGCAGCTATAAAATGGTAAATATGGTCAGTAAATATAATGAATCATACGATCCAGTGATTGACATTGAGAGCATCAATCAAGGCCATTAGGATAAGAAGACATGAATCAACAAGTCAGCGAACCTGACCATCCGATCCCAAGTCGCCTCTTACGACAAGCGTGGGTTGCTGAAGACCTATTCTACCCTGAATCTTCACTGGACTGACAAGACACTGGGTGAGAGTAGGCTCTATATTGGACAAGGTCACCAATTCCATAACACCACAATTTCATATCACACAAGCCTTCAAGTGCCTGTAGAAGCCTGTTCTGACTATTCCAAGCAAAGCATTTGTACAGGTCATCATCACATCCACTACTTTGTACATGTAACAATAAACCTGAACACACTCATCCCATGTTCCACCAACCTCAAAATGATCCACCATGGCTTCCATCAGTTCTTCACTGAACGGTGGATTCGCCTCAAATGAACCACTCAGTGGGTAAAAATTCAACACTGGGCTAGAAACATAATGGAAAAGAAATTCAAATTGCAAATATGACACGTTCATTTTTGGTTTAACACTGCACTCAGCATTATTGCAACTTTTATGACAACAGAATATAATCAAATATTGACAATATGGACCTCAAGTGATTGATAAAATGAAGAACGACCCAAGCTGAGTAATCAGTCAAGTAGTTGAGCCTGATCATTCAATGCGTTAAGTCGCCTATTACGACAAACATCGTAGGCTGGCATAATCAGTATCGATATTCAACTCCATATTCTATTTCGGAACAAGCTTGAGATTGGAAGGCTTCAGCCTGCCCTTCAAGAAAACTACAAATAGTAAATAAATCTTGTCTTACCCTCTTGACCCAAAATAGCCATCCGTATCGTAAAATGCTGAGCAATACTGGCGAAAATAACAGTTCAAAGGTGAGGCAAAACACTCAAATGTGACCCCAAACACGCGATGCAAACACTCAAACACAGACACAGGCAGCGCCCCCTGGAGACAAGCCCCCTCTTGAGAATGCAGGCCGAAACATGTCTGTAAAAGAAGGAACATCATTAGCCCAGGCACGGCCAACAGGGGATCACACAACCACACTGCAGATGAAAGTTTACTGAGGTGTTCAAAGCAAATGCTTCTTATAAAAACAATAATCAACAATTTCTTCAACAAACTAATCAGGAAAACAAACAACAAATTAAGTTGCAGCGTAAAAAGGGAAGTATCTGGTGAGTCCAGTATTTACTTTCTCAGGTGATTTCGGAATACAAAACAAACCTCCTGTCAAACATGCGCTACCCTACATCCCTCTACTTGTCTCTCACCATCAGTATCATTCTGAAAAACTCGAGTTCCAAATTTCTCAAGAAAATCATTACTTCCTCAAGTTACTGACATCCATCACCAAAGTCAAGTCACTGACATTCATCACCAAAGTCAAGTCATGATCATTCATCACCAAAGTCAAGTCACTGACATTCATCACCAAAGTCAAGTCATGATCATTCATCACCAAAGTCAAGTCACTGACATTCATTACCAAAGTCAAGTCACTGACATTCATCACCCAAGTCAAGTCATGATCATTCATCACCAACGTCAAGTCACTGACATTCATCACCAAAGTCAAGTCACTGACATTCATCACCAAAGTCAAGTCACTGACATTCATCACCAAAGTCAAGTCACTGTCATTCATCACCAAAGTCAAGTCATGATCATTCATAACCAAAGTCAAGTCACTGACATTCATCACAAAAGTCAAGTCATGATCATTCATCACCAAAGTCAAGTCACTGACATTCATCACCAAAGTCAAGTCATGATCATACATCACAAAAGTCAAGTCATGATCATTCATCACCAAAGTCAAGTCACTGACATTCATCACCAAAGTCAAGTCATGATCATTCATCACCAAAGTCAAGTCACTGACATTCATCACCAAAGTCAAGTCACTGACATTCATCACCAAAGTCAAGTCATGATCATTCATCACCAAAGTCAAGTCACTGACATTCATCACCAAAGTCAAGTCACTGACATTCATCACCAAAGTCAAGTCATGATCATTCATCACCAAAGTCAAGTCACTGACATTCTACAAGTGGAATTTCAAAATGTAAAGTCCATTTTATAATAGAAAACATACATAACACTGGACAAAACATTCATCATGAATTTGAAATAACCTACGAAGACTGACCCTTTGAAAAGCCTAAATAACTCCCCAATCAGAAAGAAACTAAGCATCATTGGTAGGAATTTACTGTCTCAAGATAGGACATGGTAACTCTTAGGTACCTGGTATCTCTTTATCAAACACCAAACACGGCCCAGGAAGTTATCAAACCGTATGTCATCCCGGCAGTTCAACTTGTACAGCTGCTCCTAGGAACACGTCACATAAACAATAATTAATTGTCATGTTAAATACACAAATGTCAACAAACCGCATTCTAACATCAACAGTAATCAGCATATCTAACTGTGTACAGTCCTGTCCTACAGAGCCTTTACTACTATACCTGGATATTTCCATCACCATAAATCCAAGATCTCATTAAAATACACTGCTTTCTCTGCAAGTTATGAAATCTATTTTAAAATGTTGTTTTAAAACTTTTAATATAATGATTTAACCTTGGCTGAAATAGATTGTGAATTTAAACAAACTTGTTATTTGGGGGCACTATCATGATAAATTGTTGACTGCTTTCATTTGACAATTCTTTGATTTTTCGCAATTAATTCATGCTCACATCAGAGGTTTTGTAAGTAATCACAGCTTTGCTTCAAACATGCCTTTGAACTACTGGAAATGTAAGAAAATTATAACTGTATAAAATCATTAGAACTGGGGTCACAGATTACATCATTGCCACATGCTACAATTATTCCCAGGAGGAGGACACTATTGGGTGAGTTGCCCGGAAATACCATACAAACATACACCTACCAGTTTGTGAAAATGTGAGCTGTTCAAATTCATAGTTTCTCCTTTATATCGGATAAATGTCATCTCATTTTCAGTTTGATGCTCAATCGGCTGTATCCGTGGTGATGGAATTGCCATTTGCACAGAGTAGCAGGGGACCTTCCGTGGGACAGGCAGTTCAGGGAAAGGATCTTTTTCTGAAAATAAATGACAAATTCCATACTTGACTACTTTGTCTGCTTGCAATTTTACAAATGACAATGCTATTGCCCAAGGCTGCCATTGTACAAAGCGATCTTAGCACTAGGGTGATCGTAACTCCCATACCTTAACATAGACTTACGACAGTGGTAGCGTTAAGGTTGTTTTGTACAACGGCACCCTGATCTGTAGCAAATGTTATTAAATTTCCAAAATCATAACTTGTCAATTCAGGTTCAGGTTTTAGTATTGCAACAGTGACCTGAATTTCCATGACCAATAACGAGACAAATATTTCACCAGCTGTACATAACTTAAACTGCCGCATTGAATGCATTGCTAAAATACCTATGAATGCAAGAAAACAATGATTTCACAAATAATTCCAGATTCCAAATCTACCTGCCACTTTGATTTCTCCTTGCATCAAGTATGTATAGTATGAATAGTAACAGGGACACTTACTTCTCCCCAACAATTCACCAGAGAGGTAGGTGAAATTCCACGTTTGAACCTCGTATTGCGGATGACTATTGGGGCTGTTGTCACTATTGCGATTCTTAATTATTTTCAATCAATGTAATAGAAATGAATAAAGTATTTCTGACAATTTCGACACAGCCATTTCCCTCCCAGTCACTACTTAAACCAAGGGGAAGTAACTCTAATCTGAAGTTGTCATAATCCTTGTTAACCAACCAATCAGGGAGGTTTGAAATTCTCAGAAAATGTGTATTATTTATAACTAATTGCAACAATTGATTATTATGCGTACTATCGACGATACTATTAGCATTTTTACATTCCTATTGATAACGTACTATCGTAGGGCAAACAACTGCGACATTTCGATAAATGGTAAAACTCCTACCTTGTATATTATGCTCCTTCAGCACCTCCCAGTGCTTTTCATGTATCTTCTTCACAAACTCACAGGACATGTTGTAGATCTTGCTACAGATGCCCTCCACAGAACTTTTGGCTGCTTCCGTCAGATGGGGCTGGCACTGCCGCTTCAGGTGAGCCAGGCGTTCCTGCACCAATTGCATGCCGTGACCATCAAGTGAATGAGACATTCTAATTAACTGAGGCATATTAGGTCCTGTCAGCTTAACGCTGTGAGAGGAAAGCCTGAAGTGATTCAGCTCCTGGTACTGATCGACCACATTCACGGCACCGGTTTTCTACTTACGCCAAAATATGTCCATTTATGGAATTAGAACATTAAATCAGAATGTCCTCGAACAGCTGACACAATAACGACATAACAACACAACAATGACCTCATATAACACTGATATGATCAAGAATCAAACTGTCTAATTTAGTATTTAAAGTTTTAGCTCCGATCAGTACTCATAAGTTCTTAGCAGTTCATTGGACAGTTTCACAATTCCTGTTCCTGGTAATGAGCTGCATTGAGATATCTCTTTATATTTTTAAAAACCATTACATTAGAACCAATTCTTTTATTTTTTTAAGCCTAAAATTGAAAAGGAAAATATCCTAAAATCTTAATCTTATTTGTGAAATCTTAAATTTATATACATCAGAGGTCACTGATCGTGTACATTTTGTACCCTGTTGATTGATATTTTGTACCCAGCTGGTGATAATACTCAGTCAGTTTGAAGACCCAGTCAGACCTGTATTAATTAAGCCATGCCTCCTGTTTGCACTTTTAGTTCGTTTGGGTTGTTACAAATACAAAAACCTCAAAATACATCCTTTTAATTAAGCGAGACAGCTCTGTTTACGTTTTCACATATTGTTTCTCAGCCATCGTATTGTACATCATACTGGCTGCATAATGATGTAAGATTTGCTTGTTTGTTTGTTTTTTTGTTGTGTAACGTCTCACTCAGCAATATTCCAGCTATATGACGGTGGTCTGTAAGTAATCGAATCTGGACCAGACAATCCAGTGATTGCCACCATGAGCATCGTTCTCCGCAATTGGGATCGATGACATGCATCAATCAAGTAAGCGAGCCTGACCACCCAATCCCGTTAGTCACCTCTTACGACAAACATAGTCGCCTTTTACGGCAAGCATGGGTTGCTGAAGACCTATTAATGTAAGAACTATCTATTGCTATAATTCATGATACTTGCACTTAAACGTGGTGCCAGAAGATTTTCTCACCAAGAAATCCTCATAGGAGGCATTCTGCTGTTTCCTCAACCAGCCGAACGTGTCTTCCACATTCCACTTGACGATCTTCCGGCTTTCTGATATGGTGCCTCTGAAATATATACAAAGTCATGGAATACACCAATGTATTGATTACTTACACAGACAAATTAGGTCTTCCTTTCTTTATTGGTTTAAAGTGTTGCACGTTACACATTTATTATATAAACCTTTGGTTGTTATCTAAAATATCCCTTGTCCTGATTACATCCAACATCTAAATTCCTAGTGTCTGTTTAAGAAAGAAGTTGTCATCAATAATATTCCATGTCATGCTTTGGTTTTTGGATTAAATTATAAAACAATCAGATCCATCAATTAGTTTTCTTGTTTTGAAAGAATATAGGGTCAATATGAGAAACATATTCCAGTTCACAATTCCTGTTTTGGCATTTTAGCGAGAAGAATGTCAAAGTGTAGTGTTTACATGAGAAGTGAGCCATAGCAGGTAAGCCATGAAGAGTTGTGAGCAAACAATTACAGTTCATCAACCGTTCATAAAACGTGACTATCTTGCTCTAAGTTTTATGTTTTACTGGAATTTTAAGGTCTTTCATATTACTCATTTTAGGGTCAGTTTATCCATATCGTGCAAAAAGAAACAAAAACCCTGACAAGCTAGAGACAAGACACAAAGAGATGATAATCTATTCACCATACATAAATAGAGAATCTCACCTGAGTGTCTTTTGATATCAAATATATCAACACGAGTTGATAAAAGTGGGAAAACTCCGAGGCTTGCCGAGGATTCTTTTTCCACTTTTTATCAATGAGTGTTGATATATTTGATATCAAAAGACACGAGGGTGAGATTTTATTTATCATCCAACATCATTCTTCCAACTTTTTCAGTTTGTAGAAAGTAATAAGCAGTGTCTTAGTGTAAAAAGTACTTCTAACAGCTTCAGTTGCAGAGCCATTAGTGATGTCATTTGATTGTGACGTCATGGTAACCAATGACGTCACAATGGTCTGCAAAGCATTGTGATGCAATTTCATTGCAGCGATATCTTAAGAATAGGTATCGCCTCATCTCACCCAAGCGATATCTCCTGTGGGAGCCAGTTTTGGATGATAATATCCTTTATCAACATTGTCAAACATTAGGAACTTATTCATGTTAATCATGTACAAGTACATCTTTGTACATCAAGCCATGCATCTGATGTTCCATCACTATGGGCCAACAGCATAAACTTCAGGAATAAACAGACTCCGAACTTAATTATATGTCTTAATATCCAAAATGTCACTTCACCAAGGCTAGATAATAAGCCATGAGGAGCAGTAGTAGTTTCAATGTTTTCCCCCTTCCTTTTGATACTGAAAGACTCTTTTGATTTCAGAATACCAAATTCGACTTATGAATCGTACTGTGGCCAACTTCATCATGTTTGCTGACAAAGAGAACAACTCTGGCACATAGTGTTGTTGATCACATCAAACAATAGTACACATTTCATACCATACTTCGAATCAAGAAAACAGAAAGCTGCATCAAATTGAACTGCTGATATAACAGCATTACGTATATCGCCGTCTATAAAGAGACCCCACATATAAGGCGACCCCCCCCCCCCCCCCCTACCCCCCCCGTATAAGCCTTTAAAATCGATAAGTTATGTACCCTGTCTATAAAACGAATCGGAATGAAGGACATCACCACCGCATACACAATCCCTACATTTGCAAAAAATGTGTTTGTCTTCTGCAGAAAAAAATTACATTGTATCCCTTCAGCGATAAAATTTGAGATAAAAACCACTAGACATGATGATTTACCAATAAATTGTATTTCCTGTTCTGCTAGGCATTGTTTTATCTGCAGAGTTTAAGATTACCGTGTGTATTTTCTTGTAAACTAAGCCGGAAGTAGCAATCAGCTGTACCTAGGTTTCTCGGAATCTACCGGTGATTGGGTTAAAAATTACCCAATAAAATAGTTAAAGAATTTTGAATTTGACCAATCACCGTTGATGCTCCCGCTTGCGATAGTGAAATCTTTACGTTGACATATAATAGTCAAACTACAACAAATATGACTTTCAGCTAGTAAAATTATGGCATTTATGATATACTGTAAATCGTGAAATTAATGTGTCACCAAAGGAATGCGACCACTGGCCCCTAGCCAAAAATGCGACTCAATATGAATGCGTCACCTCCACAAAGCAATCTTAGCGCTAAGGTGATCATAACTCACCTTCTTTAACATAGGCTCATGACAGCTGTAGTGCTAAGATAACAGGCCCTGAGCCTTGCTCCACAAAGCAATCTTAGCGCCAAGGGGATCATAACTCACCTTCTTTAACATAGGCTTAAGACAGCTGTAGTGCTAAGATAACAGGCCCTGGGCCTTGCTCCACAAAGCAATCTTAGCGCTAAGGTGATCATAACTCACCTTCTTTAACATAGGCTTATGACAGCTGTAGTGCTAAGATAACAGGCCCTGCCTGGGCCTTGCTCCACAAAGCAATCTTAGCGCCAAGGTGATCATAACTCACCTTCTTTAACATAGGCTTATGACACCTGTAGTGCTAAGATAACAGGCCGTGGGCCTTGCTCCACAAAGCAATCTTAGCGCCAATGTGATCATAACTCAACTTCTTACGACAGCTGTAGCGCTAAGATAGCTTTTTGCAACAAGACACAGGTCATAAACAAAATAACACTATGAATGGTTCAACTAGATGAAGACAACATGCTGAGATATACCAGCAGCTGTAACGTTAAATTATGTGGATTATTCCAAAGGTCTGCATACCTTGACTCGATCATCACCTTGGCAGCCTCCGCATACTTGAACAACTGTTTGCGAGCATCTCCAGTATACTTGGGTTTGATCAACTTCACAGGAATATCATTCATGATCTCTCGGTACATTGACTGGGAGATCTCTGGCGTACATTTGGACGGCAACATTGAATCAATTCCTGTGTCAACAACTTTCCTCTCAAGTAACCAGCGGTTGAAAGATTCAACTGGTGCATCAATACCTGAAGTGAAAGGATATCACAAATGAGAACCGAACAGCCAAACAATATGTGTGTGTTGCGTGTGTGTCTGTTTGTGTGTGCATCTGTGTGTGACACACTGACACACACACACACATACGACGACAGCCTTTGATAATAATCAACACTGGACGACACAATGGAGTGATTCATATTATTGGTAACAATTCACAACACTGGGATACACGCAATCAACCATGAGGACCTATTCTAACCCGGACCCCCCCTCAGGTAATTTCTCACAAAAGACTGTAGTCTATTACTTTCACTGTATATCACCTACCCCCTGGGTTTTGCCTTCCCTGTGAAATATTACCTTCCCTGTGGTATATTACCTTCCCTGTGGAATATTACCTCCCCTGCAGTATATTTACCTTCCCTGTGGTATATTACCTTCCCTGCTGGTATATTGCCTTCCCTGCAGTATATTTACCTTCCCTGTAGGAAATTACCTTCCCTGCTGGTATATTGCCTTCCCTGCAGTATATTTACCTTCCCTGTGGGAAATTACCTTCCCTGCTAGTATATTACCTTCCCTGTGGAATATTACCTCCCCTGCAGTATATTTACCTTCCCTGTGGTATATTACCTTCCCTGCAGTATATTTACCTCCCCTGTGGTATATTACCTCCCCTGCAGTATATTTACCTTCCCTGTGGGAAATTACCTTCCCTGCTGGTATATTGCCTTCCCTGCAGTATATTTACCTTCCCTGTGGGAAATTACCTTCCCTGCTGGTATATTGCCTTCCCTGCAGCATATTTACCTTCCCTGCTGGTATATTGCCTTCCCTGCAGTATATTTACCTTCCCTGTGGTTTATTGCCTTCCCTGCAGTATATTTACCTCCCCTGTGGTATATTGCCTTCCCTGCAGTATATTTACCTTCCCTGTGGTATATTGCCTTCCCTGCAGTATATTTACCTCCCCTGTGGTATATTACCTTCTCTGCAGTATATTTACCTCCCCTGTGGTATATTGCCTTCCCTGCAGTATATTACCTTCCCTGTGGCATATTACCTTCTCTGTGGTATATTGCCTTCCCTGTGGTATATTGCCTTCCCTGCAGAATATTTACCTTCCCTGCAGCATATTTACCTTCCCCATGGTATATTGCCTTCCCTGCAGTATATTTACCTCCCCTGTGGTATATTGCCTTCTCTGCAGTATATTTACCTCCCTTGTGGTATATTGCCTTCCCTGCAGCATATTTACCTTCTCTGTGGTATATTACCTTTTCTGCAGTATATTACCTCCCCTGTGGTATATTACCTTCTCTGCAGTATATTTACCTCCCCTGTGGTATATTGCCTTCCCTGCAGTATATTTACCTTCTCTGGCATGACAAAGTTCCTGATAGACACGCCGCAACTTGACAACATTTTGATGTCGGAGGATCTCTAACTCAGGCAAAGGGGGTGGGGAGATGGATGGAGGGCGTTCATGAAAGAAGACATTTGTGGGGACATCAAAATTCCAGAATGGACTGAAACAAAAAGCATGGTTATAATATATCTTAACTGAATTCCGCTGACAGCATTCCACCTCTACAATACAGTTAACATTAAGACTTTGATGAATACATCTTAAAGGCCCCTACTATCTTTAAGTCACCTGAGCATCCCCATGCTTTCAGAGGTCAAAGTTGAGCAAGCAATTATGATATGCACAAAGGAGTGATAACTCCAAACATCTACTGGTAGCATGGGTAGCATAGAACCCTTAAACTTAGTCTAACATGGCTTATGTTTGTTCTTCTCTTCAGCCATGATATTGCAGGAATAATGCTTAAAGTTTCATAGTTTCATAAACATCACTCACTAGTTAAATTATGAAGGCTTGAACCAATGTTTAACACTAACAGGTTCATGGATCTTTGATGTTTTCTGATAAAGCTATATAAAACAGATTCAGACCCTTAAATGTTTAACTGTTAATGTCAGAGTTATGCTAACAGAACCTGGAGTTCATGCATAAAATCCAACAAGGCAAGTCATTATCAACATGGTAACACAGGATGTACCTATAGTTGAAAGCTGCTCTCTTGGCCGGGCTTCCCATCCCAAAGTCGGAGCTCGCCCTCCTCTTCTCTCCAACTGCAGCAGGTGGTATTTCTATGCTGGGGCGGCTCATTCGGGTGTCAGTGTTGGCAGGGATAGGAGCTGGAGCTGGAGCTGGAGCTGGAGCTGGAGCTGGAGCAGGAGCGACGCCCCCTCCGCCTACCCCACCAGGGCTGTTGATCCCAAGAGGGTCACTCAGGTCAGGTAATTGCTGTTGAACAGAAATAATAAAATCATCAACTCATCAACAATGCATCATAATACTTCAGCCAAGATACATGCCATCAGAGGTGAATTTAATTCCTTGTCCTTTTGCTCGTAGCCAACAAAAACAGCAGAGGGTCATTAATGCTATTATTTGGAATATAACACTGTTATTTATAATATATTCTGAGACTGTCAAAATACCAGTACAGTCATCCCTCGCGATAATGCTGACCCCACACATTATTCCTAATATGGAATGTAAGTCGGGTGATACCGTATTTTATAGTGTACACATGAGTATAAGTTCATGTATTGTGAACAATCAAAATATATATTGTATGGATTCAGGTGAAAGAAGGCGGTCACAAGACAGGATGATTTACCATTTCAGTTGTATTTCTTGTTATGCTTTACATTGTTCTACATGCAGGGATTAAGATTTTTTTGTGTATTTGTCTTGTAAACCAAGCCAGAAATAGCCATGAGCTGCACACTTCAAAAAGAATTTAGGTACAATGCAGCTTTTCATATATATATATATATATATATATATATATATATATATATATATATATATATATATATATATATGAAAAGCTGAAACTTAAATAACACAATATTTGAATATGTTATTCCTGGTAAAATAATATATATATATATGTAAAAATAACACATTAAGCAAAGCACTTTGGCATATCGCCAGGTACTTTTTGCATGTTTTTGTCTGTGGAACAGTTCATATTCATATCGAGTCATCATTGCTATTCATATCACGAAAAAATACAATATGTTGACATATGATGGTCAAACTACAACAAATATGACTTTTAACAATTCAAAGTACGGCATTTATGATATATTTAATTTACACAATCTCCGACCACTATCAATAGAGGTAATCTGATCATGGTTGCTGTAAGTAACAGTGAGTTGGAGCAATCAGCTGATCAGTTATTCAAACACGATTTCGCCAAAATTAATGCAAATAATTTTGAATGAAAATTTGAATAATATTAATACAAAAGTAAGTCTAGATAAACACTGTTTATTACCAGATATTGTTACAACAGGATTAATTCAGTACAGATTTGTTGATATATTTCCTATGACGTGGTGATATGTGTACATGGTGTATGTGGGGGAAATAATTAAATTTATGGGAGCCATTGATTACCCTGCGGTTTAACCGAATCTGTGATGTTGTGAAGGGTATTATAGCGAGCATGACTGAAGTTAGATATTCATTCTAGTTCATAGACATATCTCAGCATGTCCATCCAGTCCACAACTAAAACGCAAAGTCTACTGGTCTAACAACAGATACGAGGGCAAGTCCAGCAGGGCTATTTTCCACCCATGCAGTGACCAACACTATGAGTTGTATCAAACTGGTCAAAATCAATTCTGGTCTTGTGGTTGAAGCAACATAACTGTGTTTAGAGAGAAAACTGCAATTCCAGCAAATTTGTGGCCATGTCAATCCCTGCCCTTGACATGCAGGAAGACCAATGATTTTCTTGGAGTGACAGTCGTTTTTATCAGTAATAGCATCAGCTTGCCTGGGCCCAGGTTCACAAAGCAATCTCAACACTAAGATCATTGTAACTCCTGTACTTCAACATACTTGTAGGACAATCATACCACTAAAAAAGCTTTGTGGAATGGTGCCCTGGTGCCTACTGACCCGTACATTGGTCAGCCGATTACCATTTTTCACGGGTATGTCACAGTATTATTGCCCATCATCGGAGGATTCTGACAATATCTATCCATGGTATTCAGATAAACGAATAGACTCTTCCAGCTTACCTGTGAAGGAAGTGGAGGCATCTCCCAGAGTGATTGGTTGGTAAGTTTGTTGAAGTAATATGGACGGTTCTCCCGCTTACTCCAGAATTTACGCCAGCCAGCCTGCAACAACTCCATTGGCAAATCATGCACAGGGTCAGGTGACCCCGGGGAAGAAAAACCTCCAGAGGAGTTCTGGGAGTTCTGTCTTTCAAGTTCTGGATGACTGACTGCTTCAATTCCCTGATCCTCGCCTGTGTCTCCGTGGCCAATCACGGGAGCTGGAACAGCCTGGCCTGCTATTTCACTGGAAGCCATGATGGTACCACAAACTTGCTGACTGCACACTTGGGACTTATGGCGGCATTAAGGAACCTACAAATTACACAAAAATTAGAACAATGTTGATCTTTGTAGCTACATATAAATAAGGATAAATATGACATGAACATACAAACACTAAGACATAGTTATGAATTTGACAATCACATATCCAGAAGTTGAATAATCAACTGGTATTGTGCTTTCACAGAACTAACTTTTGGATCATTTCTCTTTCCAATCAGTATCACAAGTTGCAATAGTATGCTATTATCTCAAAAGACCATTACATGTAAAGGTTTTGATGTTTTGGAGAAAGTTTTATCACCAGTGTGAATCAATGACTTGCATCTACCTTCTTGAACAACAGAACTGACTGATGGTTAATTACTGCATTAATTTTGGTGTAGATATTCAGCTATCAGCATAAGTATGTTTGGTTAAAAAGAATGAAAATACAAACAAGATTACAATATTACCCATAAAACTCTACTTATGAATCATCTTGGTTCATATCAAATACATCCTACATATTCAAGTGAAATATTAATGCATCTTACCCTTTAGTTGCAACCTAGTAATAATTAATGACAGATAAGCATATTTCCACTAAATATCCTGGCATAAAGTCAACAGTATTTATAGGATACTGAAAGAATATATCAACATCAGAGTTTTATGATGTCCTATTTTTCAAGATGTAGATGAACATGAACTGTTGGTTCAAATTTCTAATATAAAAATATTGTTTAATTATTTAAGAAGAAAATAAATCAGGACAGACGTCACTGCAAGAGCAATAACATCTCATACAATTTGAAATATGATAGTAATAAGCACGGGGTGAAATCGAAAATGCATAAATATATATCATGATACTAGTATCTGTACCAGCGAATGTACGTGGCTTCCTTGTATTTCTAATTGAAGTTTTTTATGCTATAAACAGCAAAACGTGATTACAAATGTCATGACACTGGTCTCGGTGTGTCGTGTAACGGGTTTGTGTATATGCAGGCAAATGTATGCAATCAGAATATTTGAACACGGGACAAAATGCTGCAAATGTTATTATGCATTGAACTTGAAGCTTCCTCACAAGAGTAGCGAATCATAGGCACCTTTTGACTTTTGTCACTTTCCACGCCCAATCGGCGATTACACTGCATCCCAAATTAGGTGCAAACTATCAACTGGACCTTTCTAAACAATATATACTGAATGTCAGGTGGAAAACCGTTCAGAGTGAGGTTCCAGTGATGAAATGTTCTCAAAGAAATTGCGTAGCCTCCTTCTCGGCCGCCATTTGTGAGAACAACTCGTCTAATGTAAAAGTAGGATTCGATGACACACGATTAAACGTTCAAAGAGTCCAAAACAAGTGTCTATTTGTGCCATTTTACATAGTTACGCGTTACAATTGTACTAAGTATAGTTTTGTCAATCTTTAGATTTAAATAATGCACATACTTCTTAAACTGACTTAATGTTTTCACAATTAAATCCTAATATTCGTTTCGCTACAAGTATAGCTATTGTATTAACATTTGAAATGCATCCAAAACGCCCGGATGTTCTGCAGTGACGCTGGTGCGTCCATATATGCAATTGAGGCACTACAGAGGTTTGAAAATGTTTGTCTCATTTAAAATTAAAAAATACTAAAAATTTAAAAATACTAAAAGGATAAGAGAACACGGTGCTGTGTTACAATATCTACTTCTTCACCATGATATGGTCGGAAATTGATCAAAACAATTATGAGAATAACATAATGTTTTCACCAGTCCTTAATTGAACCCCTTAGTTGTATTTGACGAAACTTCTCCACAGAATTAAATTTGCTCTACGAAATTGATTACATGTTTTTTCGTTTTTGGGGTGTTTTTTTTCAATTAAATACACGCTGCAAACCCTTATGCCCATAAGAGAATAATGAGTCATATGCACCTCTATGAATAATGTAACATCACATAAAGAAACTATTTTGTACCATATTCTATGTATATATGAAGTGCTTGGGCATGACAAATGCTCTGGAAAATTCCATGCACAGGAATACATAGATGTACTAAAAGAAATTTAAAAAATGTATTAGACCTATGTATCCAAAGAGGCAATGTACGTCTTTCGTACAGATAAGTATTCCCGTGAGTGGCCACTGGTGTTAGCGAGTGAGTTGGGTTAAACGTAGACTAACATATAGTCTCTGAAATGAACATATCATACAGAAAAAAACAGTTGTTCAGTTATCTTAATAAAAATCTAATAAAATCTAGACTTGCCAAACATTATAGACTTGCATGGGCTGTAGTTGATATAAATGTATCAGGGTCTGTAAGACAGACTAGGTTAAACGCCGCTTTTAACACTATTACAGTTATATCACGGCGTGTCAGCTTAATGTGGGAGGTAAGCCTGAAGTGATGCAGGTCTCACACATTTACCACTTCGGTGAAACCCACGAGCACGGATATGGTGCTGACAAACCGAGAAACATAATCGGGGCGAACCGGGATTCGAACACACAATCATAGGTTTCTTGCGTGCCCAAGGGACGCAACTCTGCACAGCAATCTCATTAAAATCAGATCTCAGCGAATCGCGAATCGCGACTGGGCCACCCGTGCCCCCGATCGAGTGGCCAATGGAAGGTATATATATATATATATATATATATATATATATATATATATATATATCAATTGGGGGCAGAGCTGGGTCAATCGTCTCAGGCGCAGCAATTTGGTGTGCAGAGTTGCGTCCCTTGGGCGTGCTATAACCCTACAGTCGTGGATTCGATTCCCGGTTCACCATGATTTGTGTTTCTAGGTTTGTCAGCACGATACCTTGCTCGTGGGTTTCACCAAAGTGGTAAACGTCTGAGAGCTGCATCACTTCGGGCTTTCCCCTCACAATGTGATATAACAGCTCTTAGCGGCGTTAAACCCAACTCACCCACTCACTCATTCACTCACCCCTGTACGCCATTGTGATTGAGCTCGATGTTGGTAACTGAGAAAAAATGTTAAATCTAAATGTAAGCAATGATTAAAATCCATAACGTCCCATATAGTTTTGGTTGGTTGGTTTGTTGTTTAACGCCGCACTCATCAGTATTCCAGCTATATGACGGCGGTCTGTAAAATAATTAAGTGTGGCCCAGACAATCCAGTGATTGACATCATAAGCATCGATTCACGCAATTGGGATACGATGACATGCATCAATCAAGTCAACGAGCCTGACCACCCGATTCTGTTAGTCGCCTTTCACGACAAGCATAGTCGCCTTTTACGACAAGCATATGGGTTGCTCAATAGTTTGGTGAAACGTAATTCCAGTCGAAAGAGGCGACTAACGGGATCGGGTGGTTTGGCTCGCTGACTTGATTGATGCATATCATCGTATCCTAATTGTGTTGATTCATGCTCATGATTTCAATCACTGGACTCTTGTCCACATTCGTTTATTTTACAGACCGCCGTCATAAAGCTGGAATATTGCTGAGTGCGGCGTTAAACAACAAGCAAACAAAACCGTAAATGTATGTGCATGCGTATTTACACCCGATTACGCGTTATACACTGGGTTGACTAGTTAGTTAACTTGTGTGCCACGTTGTGTCTATCTAACATATGAATCAAGTGGTGATTATGGTCGATAAAGGTGCACCGAACATGTTACAAGAATTACTTATACTTGAATCTTATTTCGTTTTATTTGGACACGAGCTCCACACATCAGAGGGAGCGCCTCCACAGTGTGGGGAGTTTGAAAGACTGTAAACATGGCTGAGTTTCCTAACGTTGGAAAGCAATGCAGTGTTGAAACTTGTAAACAATTAGGTAATTGAATTCCACCATCCCTTAAAACTGTATATGAGTCAAATCAGGTGATAAATTATATTCATAGTTACGAAACCAGCGAGAAATACCACAAATGTTCCGCAGTCGGCTGTCGTGCAAAAAACAGACACAATGTTTGTGTCATCCCACAGGCCTCTGAAACAGCGTAGTGATATTATTGAAACACCAGACCCAAATATATTAATTTATATATATGTTTCAGGTGTTTCAGTAATATCACTATCCTGCTTTACGGGCCTGTGTGTCGTCCGTGAACACTATAGTGAAACGCAATGCCTTCTAAATTGACAAAGTGACATTAAATACTTGTCATGTACGTGTGTAGTTTTCATTTATTATTTTTATAAAGAGTATGGGCACATCTGCTTCATTACTGGCGATTCAAAACAGATAAAGGCAACAATGCAGTTTACCAGGCACAGCCCGAGCTCTACCATCCGCTCAATTACCGTGCTATATAGTGCCACCGCTTTCTCGTTATACCGTTACCGTGCCCACGCTGTGGTGACTCTCGTTTTACGATCCATTTTCGGCCTTAGGGAAACCTCCACATCTTTACAATCACACACCCGTTCTCGGTCTTAGGGAAACTTACACATCTTTACGATCAAACACCCGTTCTCGGTCTTAGGGAAACTTACACGTCTTTACGATCAAACACCCGTTCTCGGTCTTAGGGAAACTTACACGTCTTTACGATCAAACACCCGTTCTCGGTCTTAGGGAAACTTACACGTCTTTACGATCAAACACCCGTTCTCGGTCTTAGGGAAATTTACACGTCTTTACGATCAAACACCCGTTCTTGGTCTTAGGGAAACTTACACATCTTTACGATCAAACACCCGTTCTCGTTCTTGGGGAAACTTACACGTCTTTACGATCCAAAACCTGTTTTCGGTCTTAGGGAAACTTTCGCGTCCTTACGATCTAAAACCCCTTTTCGGTCCTTAGGGTTAGCTAGCTTATTCTTACCCTTTCAAGCATTAATCCTGTTAATCCCATTGGTAGGTCATGTTGACATAAACAATTGCGGGTGTGGTTTCTAATGACCCGTTAAATGAGCACTGATTACATGTGATAGTGCCAGTGGTCCAGCGATAGAGCGTCGGCTAATCAACACATTAATTAGCAGAGCCGGTGAGCCGGCGAAGTGCGTTCGAGCCCCCACAGCGCTAATTGGATCTGAAAAAGTGCGCCCGGTAAAGTGCACTACTCCCCAGATAAATATATGTTATGAAATGTTTAACTTTCATTTTGAAAATATTCTTAAAAATGAAAAATTATACATTTGTATATTCATCCTCCACGTCCAGTCATCGAAGCTCTACAGAGAGCTAGCAATATATAGTCACTTGATGTGTAATGCTAAATTGTCACACACCTCACTGTCTCTGTTGCAGTAGTACATCTATATAATTATGCTAAAAATATATACCACACCGAAAGGAAAGCATTAGGCCCGTCTGAATAAGGCGAGCAGACCCAAGTAAGCTCGGAGATTATCAGCTACTGTTTACACTCATTTTCTTGATATTGTGGTAAACCTGTATATCAACTTCAAATGCCTGTCAAGTCGGTAACGTTTAGAGAAGGACAGAAATGACAACTGTTTTGTCAATATTAGCTTACATTGTGATCAGGCTGTCAAATCTCAGGTTCAATCAGATTATTGTGATTCCAAATCCCTGTTTGACCAATCAGAATTGTGTATTTCCAAAGTCATGGTAGAATTATGAGTTATTGTTGCATTGGAAATATTTCAGCCATGTAAGTACAGTAAACTACGGTTACAACAAACTCAAGGGCGCCACTACTTTTAGTTTTTTATAACCGTAGTTTGTTATAAGCATATATACAAAATATGTACCGCAAATGGCTGTGACAAAGAAATGAGTTTGTAATTAATGGTCTTCAGCAACCCATGCTTGCCGTAAAAGGCGACTATGCTTGTCGTAAGAGGCGACTAGCGGGATTGGGTGGTTAGACTTGCTGACTTGGTTGATGCATGTCATGGTATTCCATTTGCGTGGATCAATACTCATGATGTCAATTACTGGATTGTCTGGTGCAGACTCGATTATTTACAGACCACCGTCATATGGCTGTCATATTGTTGAGTGAGACTTTAAACAACAAACATACAAACAGTTCGTTACAAATTTATTTTACTGTATTTGTAAATCTTGCTTTATATACTAATAAGGAATGAAAGTACTCTCACCAGTGCTGTGGGTTTAGTTTTTATGTTAATTTCACACCTTCCTGTCCAGTGAGTGAGTGAGTATTGTTTTACGCCGCTTTTAGCAATATTCCAGCAATATCCCTGCAGGGGACACCAAAAATGGGCTTCACACACTGTACCCATGTCAGGAATCGAACCTGTGTTTCAGCATGACAAGCGAACGTTTTAACCACAAGGCTACCCGACCGCCCCCCTTCCTGTCAAGATAACATCAATATCATCAAGTTATCTGTGTTACACTGAAAGAATTTAGAAAACTAATGGGTTTCATCGGTAACTGACAATGTGTGACCCATGACTGTGTAGCAAAGTAGCAGATATACTGAGTAATGGTTATAAAGTAAATCAAACTATCAAAGGACATCCTACGTTGTTTTTTTAAGAAGTTGTCTTGTTTGTTTATTTGTTGTTTAACTCCACACTCAGAAATGTTCCAGCTTTATGACGACGGTCTGTAAATGATCGAGTCTGGACCAGACAATCCAGTGATTGATGTCATGAGCAGTGATCCACACAAGTGGTATACAATGAATGACATGCATCAACCAAGTCAGCGAGTCTGACCACACAATCCAGTTAGTCGCCTCTTACGACAAGCATAGTCACCTTTCATGGCAAGAATGGGTTGGTGAAGACCTATTCTACCCACGGATCTTCTCGGGTCAGATTTAGCAGTAGTTTATCTTACAAAGTCAATGGATACTTAATGCAAACAAAACTTAATCTCCCTCTGTGGTCTTGTGGATAGAGTGCTGCCCAGAGAGTGGAAGGTTGGGGGTGAATCCCTAGCCGCATCATTCCAAAAGACTTTCAAAGATGGTATTTGTCATTACTTTGCCTAGCGCTCGGCATTAAGGGGAGGTAAATCAAGGACTGGTCGGCTTGGAGTCAGTATTTTGTGTATGAGTGGGACATCCAATTATCCACATTAACGCCACACTCAGCAATATTCCAGCTTTATGACGGCGGTCTGTAAATAATCGAGTCTGGATCACACAATCCAGTGGTTAATATCATGAGCATCAATCCACGCAATTGGGATCGATGACATGCATCAACCAAGTCAGCAAGCCTGACCACCCAATCCCTTTAGTCGCCTTTTACGACAAGCATAGCCACCTTTTACGGCAAGCATGGGTTGCTGAAGACCTATTCTACCCCGGAATCTTCACGGGTCTGTGCGGCGTGGTATCTCCTTGGGCTAGCACTATAAAACTGGCATTTAGTTCGGTCACATGCTCATTAGCTGAGACTTTCTTGGTCTCAAATAATGTATACACTAGGGCTGCAACGGATACACTATGAGGCAAATACGATTCATATTACGATTATAGGGAAATGAATATGAATATTGATACATGACTATAATAACAAGTCAGCAGTTGATGTATTATTTGCTATCTTCAGTGAAACAAAAACAACATGAATTATTTGACATGGTTTGTTAACTATTAATATATTATACATTTATAGTGAGTGAGTGAGTGAGTTGGGTTTAATGCCGCTTTTAACAGTATTCCAGTTATATCGCGGCGTGTCAGCTTAATGTGGGAGGAAAGCCCGAAGTGATGCCGGTCTCAGACGTTTACCACTTCGGTGAAACCCATGAGCACGGGTATGGTGCTGACAAACCTAGAAACATAATCGGGGCAAACCGGGATTTGAACCCACAATCATAGGTTTCTGTCGTGCCCACGTTATACATTTATATACTGCACTTATCCAGGTACTAGTACCTGCTCAAATGCAACAATGACCAGTGACCCCAATACTGTCAAATTAATTATTATAAGAGTGTTGTCTTTGAAAAAATCTATGCATATAATATGTTCTTATGGATATTTTTAGGTACAGGGTATGTAAATGCACATGATTGTATATTCATACATATTCGATTCTAGTGGCCACAAATAATGAATTCAATTCATGAATGGATACGGTTCAATTCACTGAATACACGAGTGAATCATAACAGCCATAGTGTACACAGTGGTCAATTATTTTATAATTTCAAAGGACCCTTTTCATAACCTTTGTTTCATATTTTTTTCCCCAGATTTTCTTCCATTTGAGTGTGATGGATGTGAAAAGATATATTGGTGAGTAACACATTCTCCATCTTTCCGAGGCAAGCGTGTCCTCTAGCCTATAGCAAAGCCTAGTATCTACCCCAGGCAAGCGTGTCCTCTAGCCTATAGCAAAGCCTAGTATCTACCCGAGGCAAGCGTGTCCTCTAGCCTATAGCAAAACCTAGTATCTACCCCAGGCAAGCGTGTCCTCTAGCCTATAGCAAAGCCTAGTATCTACCCGAGGCAAGCTTGTCCTCTAGCCTATAGCAAAGCCTAGTATCTACCCCAGGCAAGCGTGTCCTCTAGCCTATAGCAAAGCCTAGTATCTACCCGAGGCAAGCGTGTCCTCTAGCCTATAGCAAAGCCTAGTATCTACCCGAGGCAAGCGTGTCCTCTAGCCTATAGCAAAACCTAGTATCTACCCCAGGCAAGCTTGTCCTCTAGCCTATAGCAAAGCCTAGTATCTACCCGAGGCAAGCTTGTCCTCTAGCCTATAGCAAAGCCTAGTATCTACCCCAGGCAAGCGTGTCCTCTAGCCTATAGCAAAGCCTAGTATCTACCCGAGGCAAGCGTGTCCTCTAGCCTATAGCAAAACCTAGTATCTACCCGAGGCAAGCGTGTCCTCTAGCCTATAGCAAAGCCTAGTATCTACCCGAGGCAAGCTTGTCCTCTAGCCTATAGCAAAGCCTAGTATCTACCTGAGGCAAGCGTGTCCTCTAGCCTATAGCAAAGCCTAGTATCTACCCGAGGCAAGCGTGTCCTCTAGCCTATAGCAAAGCCTAGTATCTACCCGAGGCAAGCGTGTCCTCTAGCCTATAGCAAAGCCTAGTATCTACCCGAGGCAAGCGTGTCCTCTAGCCTATAGCAAAGCCTAGTATCTACCCGAGGAAAGCATGTCCTCTAGCCTATAGCAAAGCCTAGTATCTACCCCAGGCAAGTGTGTCCTCTAGCCTATAGCAAAGCCTAGTATCTACCCGAGGAAAGCGTGATCTCTAGCCTATAGCAAAGCCTAGTATCTACCCGAGGCAAGCGTGTCCTCAAGCCTATAGCAAAGCCTAGTATCTACCCGAGGCAAGCGTGTCCTCTAGCCTGTAGCAAAGCCTAGTATCTACCCGAGGCAAGCGTGTCCTCTAGCTTATAGCAAAGCCTAGTATCTACCCGAGGCAAGCGTGTCCTCTAGCCTATAGCAAAGCCTAGTATCTACCCGAGGCAAGTGTGTCCTCTAGCCTATAGCAAAGCCTAGTATCTACCCTTGCCACATCAAGGCATTTCCTTGGCTGGACCCTGGCGCCACTTTGTGGAGATGACAAGTTGTACCCCTTGTAATGAAAACGCGATATCAGATCGCTGTTCTTTCTCTGTATAGCTTCACAAAAATGGCGACTACCATAGGCGACAACCTAGTCGGTCAGATAAAGAAAAAAACAAAACAGTCGCGATTTCATCCCTGACACAAAAACGTAGGTAATCATTGGGTGTTTAAAAGATGAAAAAGACATATTCGTGTCCACAAAGACAGGTAGCGGTAAATTACTTTCATACGAAGATGTACCAGTCGTGGATGTTGATTTTGTGAAACGTTCTCTGATTGGGCTATCGATATGTGCGATAGTCCAATCATATTTAGCACAGGAAAGTGGGCTTGATGTGGCAAGGGTGAAATCGGACTTTGATAAAACGGCTAGTGGATGCTCCTGCCTCGGGATGATGCATGCCTTCCTGACACAGTAGAAGATACAAGGTGATGAATCTGTGTCAGTGTAGTCGAGACAGTGCAAGAGTGAGTGCATGGTGTAGGTGACCGGTGCCACAGACAGCAATATACCACTCAACTTTTGATAGGGATAATCAAATATGTCATTCTATTGAAACATACTCTTGACATATTATGGGAATCAGTTTTGTGTGTCAATGAAAGATAAAAAAAAGTCCCTTTCAAAACTGGTTGATAGCATGAGCAGAGGTCTCGCTGTTATTATTCAGTGACACACGTTGTAACCACCTGATCCTCCTCAGCTCCATCTCACTCACTCACTCACTCACTCACTCACTCACTCACTCACTCACTCACTCACTCACTCACCCAAACACCCATCCACTCACTCACTCACTCACTCACTCACTCACCCAAACACCCACCCACTCACCCACTCACTCACTCACTCACTCACTCACACATTCAGCACAAAGCAAGCTGCTTCATAAACATCATGACTATTCCAGGGAAATGTGGGGCACGGGTGGCCCAGTCGTCTAAGAGTTGCATCCCTTGGGCACACCAGAAACCCATGATTGTGGGTTTGAATCCCGGTTCACCCTGATTATGTTTCTAGGTTTGTCAGCACCGTACCCATGCTCAGGCTTTTCACCGAAGTGGTAAAGACCTGCATCACTTCGGGCTTTCCTCCAACATTAAGCTAAATAACTGGAATACTGTTAAAAGCGGTCTTAAACCCACTCACTCACTCACTCACTCACTCACTCACTCACCAACCCACTCATTCACACACTCACCCACCCACCCACCCACCCACCCACCCACTCACTCACTCACTCAATCACTCACTCACTCACTCACTCGACATGCTGGAGTATTCGGTTCCTATTCTATGCTGCACACTCCGCCCGGACTGCCTGCATTGAGGTTGGGAAGCAAATTATGTCGGTCATCATCAATTGTGTAGTTCTCATGATATATTCACCGGATCAGGAATGATATATATTTCCTGTTTTTGTTTACGATTTGTGGTGATGGTATGGTGATGGCAAAGCAAGGGTCATCACATTATGTGACTGGACTATTTATTACAGACTGTAGGGCCTAGGTTGTCAAAATAATCATCCTGACATTAAATAACATTTTTACATTTTATAAGGCATAGGTTGTCAAAATACTCATCTTGACATTAAATAACAGTTTTACATTTTATAAGGCATAGGTTGTCAAAATAATCATCCTGACATTAAATAACAGTTTTACATTTTATAAGGCGTAGGTTGTCAAAATAATCATCCTGACATTAAATAACAGTTTTACATTTTATAAGGCATAGGTTGTCAAAATACTCATCTTGACATTAAATAACAGTTTTACATTTTATAAGGCATAGGTTGTCAAAATAATCATCCTGACATTAAATAACAGTTTTACATTTTATAAGGCATAGGTTGTCAAAATAATCATCCTGACATTAAATAACAGTTTTACATTTTATAAGGCATAGGTTGTCAAAATACTCATCCTGACATTAAAAAACAGTTTTACATTTTATAAGGCATAGGTTGTCAAAATACTCATCCTGACATTAAATAACAGTTTTACATTTTATAAGGCATAGGTTGTCAAAATACTCATCCTGACATTAAATAACAGTTTTACATTTTATAAGGCCTAGGTTGTCAAAATAATCATCCAGACATTAAATAACAGTTTTACAGACTGTAGGGCCTAGGTTGTCAAAATACTGACATTACAGACTGTAGGATGCCATGTTGAGAGATGCGTACTTCGTGCATGTGTTTTGTTACATTAGACATCAATAACATCTCATGTGACAGTTAATTACAACTGGTTCTACTCTTTTACAAATCAACAATGTTGAACAATCACAGTTTGTTGATTTTGACAAGAACATATGGACTGTTGTCAGCTAAATTGTTTGAATGAAAGGTTTATTGACTTTGGCTTTGTAATGAGGCTCAAGTTCCAAACTGCAGTCATGACACACATTCAGCACAAAGCAAGCTGCTTCATAAACATCATGACTATTCCTGGGAAATGTGGGGGTACGGGTGGCCCAGTCGTCTAAAGCGCCACGATTCGCCGTGCAGAGATGCATCCCTTGGGCACGCCAGAAACCTATGATTGTGGGTTCGAATCCCGGTTCGCCCTGATTATGTTTCTAGGTTTGTCAGCACCATACCCGTGCTCGTTGGTTTCACCGAAGTGGTAAACGTCTGAGACCTGCATCACTTCGGGCTTTCCTCCCACATTAAGCTGAATAACTGGAATACTGTTAAAAGCGGTCTTAAACCAAACTCACTCACTCACTCCAGGGAAATGTCTCCCTATTTGAGGCTGATATCATTTCCTAAGATAAAATTGAAGTTAGTTATATTCACATTACTGGAAACTAGTGGTTGGCTGGTATGATGAGGTGCGGGTTTTCCTACCACACCAAGGTGACACTGACAGAATTATTACTGAGTACAATATTCAAAGCAGCGTTGACCGACTCCGTAGTCTACTGGTAGAGCGTCCCGCCCAGAGAGCGGAAGGTCAGGGGCTCGATACCCGGACGCGTCATACCAAGAGTCGTTAGGGTACTTGTTGTTACCCTGCCTGGAGCTCAGCATTAAGGGGCTAAGACAAGGACTGGTCGGTTCGGAGTCAGTATACTGTGTATGAGTGGGGTCTCCATGTTAAACTGCGGAATGGTATCTCAGTGGACTAGCACTATAAAATCGGCATTAGTCCGGACTAGTACAAGCAGCTATACATACACTCTCACACACGTGCATGCATGTCGCTATATAAGTGCAATAATCTTGGACGTGACGTTGAACCCCATTTCACCTCAAGCAGGTGCAAACTGAACTCATTCACTACTGTCAAACATTATCAATAGTTATCACTTGACCCAAGGTGATTGTTCAATACAAATTGCCAAGTGTTGACAAGCTTCACTAACACAAAATTTATTCATTTTAATTAATCCCTGAGCTACAACTTCAATCAGTGTCACTCACCTGTGGTGATTGATGTTGACTGATAGCGTCCAGTCATCCCTGCAAGTTGTGTCTGTGTAAGCAAGGATTATATCCTACCTAAATATTATCCTGGGGGAAGTTTTACTCTAGAGCATAGTATAGGATAGGATTAAACACACTGGTAGGGGTTCAAATTCACTAGGGAGAATCATCCTGACACTAGAGAATTTCATCCCAGGGATAAAATATAGGGTAGGATAATATTACCTATACACTAATCAACAACAAAATCACATATCAGTCTGGTTGCAGCTCTTTAATTTGTATCCTTTGTTATGATATCCAGTCACAGGTTGTTATGCCCTGCTAAGACTTTTTCGAAAATGCCCTGTTGGCAAAATTTTATAATGACTGCTTTCCACTGTTTCAAATCGGACATTTTGCAGCCACAATCAGACAAGTCCGACGCACAGACCAGTTTCCGGATCCCAGGATACTATTAGTTATGGTGTCTTTAGTTGCCGTATACAGTGTCATATTAGGTTAGCAGGAAAAAGACACCATAACGATTTTATTATGCCGAAAAATTTACACTATTTGGTATCTTTGTCGCATGTCATGTCAAAATGAAAACTTGACACTTACAACCGGTATAAATGACAGGACCAGTACATCTGTTACCCATACAATGGTTTAATGTAAACAGAAACGTCAACAATGGAATATATAATGCACTAAATGTTGACGTTTAAAGTGCTGTAGCTTAAATGGATAGAATTATCATAATAATGCCTGCATGTTTACAGAAATCTGCGGGCCAGTGTAACTTGATAGCAGTCTGTTTTCCCCTAACCACGGGCTGCTATCTATTCTATTGCTATGTGACGTCATTGGCGTCACGTTTCTCGTTTGTGACGTCATCCTATAGTATGTTCCATGACATTACTGTTTGTAACTCAGTGACCTCCGTTGTAAGCTTATTTTCTCTATAACTTTTTAAAATTAAAGTCACGAACATGGTTGCTTTAATAAATAATGTCTTTGCTCATCACAATTAATGATATTAAAACACAAAACAGTGTCGAATATCAAATTTCTGAACCAGAATTTCTATGTGAGGTGGGTGTTGGAAAATTCAAAATGACTGTTACTGAAGGTATACACTCTCATTAGGTCAGTAACAACCATCTTGGAATTTTACTGACGATATACGGGCTCATGTGGGGTCAGTAGTTCTGCTCTCTGATTTGTCAATCTCACTTTGAGGCATAATAAAATACCATATTATGTCAACCTTCACATTTTTTAAGATGATAATGTTCATGTGTACTTATTTTTTGTTACAGCTCGGATCACAGGACAAAGGATGGACACAACTGCTCCCGCGTAAGTGGAAGATTTCTACACTGAAACATTCTAGATGTTATGTTGTCATTTTGTTCAACGTCCATTCTTTCATTAATAAATTGCAAATGATCCTGTGGCATTTGATTGGCTCCATACCCTACCGTACCCCAGTTAGGCCACGCCCACTAACATACTACTGTTTCCTGATTGGCTGATAATAGGAAGGCGGGGCTTGGGTTTCATTGTTGTCACTGATTTTGTAATTTTGTGTACAGCTGCTTTGTGTTAATGATTCAATAAGTCTGTAAAGTTTTTTTTCTTTTTTACGTGTTTATGTATGAGAATTGACATCAATATGTTTGTGTGTTTACGGAGGTATAAGCGTTAAAACTGGTGTGCACACTTTGTAAATTCGTAATTATTGTTTGACTTCCAAAAATGCAAACAATACTTAAGTCAATTAGGAGATAAACCCACTGTTTGAAATTTGATGTACTCCCACTGTAGAGTAGAGAACTCTTATTTTAATGCCGAACTGAGCGCTTTATTACAGGCAAATTAAAGAGAAAGGTGTGATTCTTTCATACGGAGGATTTTAAAAATAATAATTGCCAGCTTTATTGGATTAGAAGCCAGTGTTTATCAAGGCCAAGATTACATGAAGCCTTGGAATCACTCACTCAGTTTTTGCAGTCAGCCGAATACCTCTGCCACGTTGCATTAAGAAAATATCCTGAAACTTGAAAAACTATTTCCATTTGCTTATTTTTCCTTTGTTAACATTGGTTGTACATTTTCTCCTTGATGTATAAAACTGTATTGTCATCCAAGTCACTGTCGCGGTTGTAGTAGCAGATCTACCTCATTACGAAAAGATTCTTTGCTGGTCAGGACATATTTATTGTGTTAATGGATTTTGTGTTCTCTTCTGCACTTTCAGTTGTAAACTGATCTGACTGACGTTCTCTATCAGTTGACATTTTAGTTTTGTCTTTATATAGGCAGGGTGAATGCTATTTTAAAAATAATAATATATAATGACTGCTTTCTTAATAAATCCTTCAAGTCTAATAATGCAGTCTATCTCACAGAATATTTAGTCAGATATTATTTCTTGTGCATGACTGTTTTATTTCATGGCAAGCGGCCTCAGGTCATGGCCTGTTTGTCTGTTCTGCATTTATCAAATACGTTGAAACAATTACAGAAGAAATGTTTAGTCCAAGACACTAAAACTGTCCTCAACCATGTTGCAGAACTGACATATTTCTTAAACGTTTTCTTCTTTATTTTAATCTCTGCACTTGTACGCAGCAGACTTGTTATTCAGTATTAACATGTTGTTTTTAGTTTCATCAAAATCAGTAAGTACACTGTCGTGTCACTGGATTTTCTGGTTCATCACCTGATTGTCTGGTTGGCTTACATGCCGCCTTCGCATGGCTGGAGTATATGCTGACCAGCGGCAGGCGACAAACACATACTTTTTTGTAAAATTGTGTGAGTGGCAGGGACTACCGACATGCTTACCCTGTTAGCGAACACTTTGGTGTCATCACCTACTTTCAGTGATCCATTCATGTCATTCATCACTGTTTTGCCAGTGATGCCCCATTGGGATCTGTTTTGGTGTACATTGACATTTTATGTCTTTCCATACAGGAAGTGAAGTCCTCAAACAGGAAGTGCATGTAACTTTCTTGTGGCCCTATTGTAGCTTGTGGCATTAAACTTTCTGATTTGAACTTCTTTGCATAACACCCATTCCCCAAACAGAAAGTGAGGTGAAAACCATTGGCAACATTCAAACTGTAAACACTAAACTCAGTGATCTCCAAAGTTAAAACAACATTTTTCATTGATTAATACATGCAGTTGAAGTGAAGTTGACAGTTGATTTTTGATATTTTTTTTCTTGGACCTCCAACATAGAATTTGGAGAAAATAGCGTGAACCAACTTTTGAAATATGAATCATATTGGTTCATTTTGTATTACAGATTTGTGTTAAAGGCAACACAGTGGAGTACACGGGGGAGAAGGGCTTCACATGTGCCCTGGAGGACTGCAGCAACCGGGAACTCACCCCTGTCGTGTGTCCACAGTGTCGCAGGAGCTTCTGTCTCAGGTAGCAGACGTCAGTGGTTGTAACCTTGTTTTTTTAATAAAGCAGGACCAAGTTTGTATCTTGTACAAAGAGTCTTTGGAGTAAATCGGATTGAGGAGGGAAAATATAAAATAGAATTACCCAGATCAATAAAAAATGCTTTTATTACAAATTTTTGGGCTAAATTGTTTGGATGATGGTGGGACAATCTAATTATAATCAGACCTTAGTTCTCGCTACCGCTAAACAAAGATCTGAAGACATCTCATTAGGGGTCACTTCAGAACGACCTTTCATCCGTCCAATCAGAGCGTCGCTTACCAGATCATGAAAGTGACAGTCGGAATGTGATTTCTAATCATACAACCTCGAAAACTTTAACACGGGAAATTCCGAACGATAGTTACAGGGTTAACGACTGAATCCATAACATCTAGACCATCTATTAGCCATTCCAGAATGTTCTTATGTACAGGTTTCAAATTTGTAATCGAGAATTTGTCAAAATATGTTTCGAAGCATAGTCGCCAATTTGAAATTTGTGCCATAAAGCACAAGAAAGCTGCCTTTTGATTGGTCATTCCATTGGTCAGTCAAAGTTAGGGCAAGGTCGGTCTGACGTGACCCATAATGGGATTTCCTCAGATCTTTATTTAGCGGTAGCGAGAACTAAGATCTGATTTTATTGACATTGGAGGTGGGAAAAACCAATGTTGAAAGTGTTAAACATTTCCTGACTTATGGAGTAACTACTAAGAAGCAAAACTTCCTAAAGTCGTAAATCCGACCCGTCACCAAATCACCAACTGTGTCAGTAAGCTGGATTTCAGCTGTTTTCTTAATTAGAACCTGTTTTCTGACTGTCAGGCTTCACTTTGTCGACACTAAATAGCGCATGATAAATGCCAACAATTACAAATTCACGATGGTCACAACTGAAGCCTGATTTGCTTTGTTAATAATAATGTCAAATTTTGCCGATCTCAAAGCTTTAACTTTAAGAAAAAATAATGGCAACATTCCCAGAAAGGGCCTCTGTTTGAAGCCTGAATGTAGGAATATATGGAGTTGTAGTTCTGGTGTCTGTGTTGTTTGAGGCCTGAATGTAGGAATATATGGTGTTGTAGTTCTGGTGTCTGTGTTGTTTGAAGCCTGAATGTAGGAATATATCGTGTTGTAGTTCTGGTGTCTGTGTTGTTTGAGGCCTGAATGTAGGAATATATCGTGTTGTAGTTCTGGTGTCTGTGTTGTTTGAGGCCTGAATGTAGGAATATATTGTGTTGTAGTTCTGGGGTCTGTGTTGTTTGAGGTCGAATGTAGGAATATATGGTGTTGTAGTTCTGATGTCTGTGTTGTTTGAGGCCTGAATGTAGGAATATATGGTGTTGTAGTTCTGGTGTCTGTGTTGTTTGAGGCCTGAATGTAGGAATATATGGTGTTGTAGTTCTGGTGTCTGTGTTGTTTGAGGCCTGAATGTAGGAATATATGGTGTTGTAGTTCTGGGGTCTGTGTTGTTTGAGGCCTGAATGTAGGAATATATGGTGTTGTAGTTCTGGGGTCTGTGTTGTTTGAGGCCTGAATGTAGGAATATATGGTGTTGTAGTTCTGGTGTCTGTGTTGTTTGAGGCCTGAATGTAGGAATATATGGTGTTGTAGTTCTGGTGTCTGTGTTGTTTGAGGCCTGAATGTAGGAATATATGGTGTTGTAGTTCTGGTGTCTGTGTTGTTTGAGGCCTGAATGTAGGAATATATGGTGTTGTAGTTCTGGTGTCTGTGTTGTTTGAGGCCTGAATGTAGGAATATATGGTGTTGTAGTTCTGGTGTCTGTGTTGTTTGAGGCCTGAATGTAGGAATATATGGTGTTGTAGTTCTGGTGTCTGTGTTGTTTGAGGCCTGAATGTAGGAATAAATCGTGTTGTAGTTCTGGTGTCTGTGTTGTTTGAGGCCTGAATGTAGGAATATATGGTGTTGTAGTTCTGGTGTCTGTGTTGTTTGAGGCCTGAATGTAGGAATATATGGTGTTGTAGTTCTGGTGTCTGTGTTGTTTGAGGCCTGAATGTAGGAATATATGGTGTTGTAGTTCTGGTGTCTGTGTTGTTTGAGGCCTGAATGTAGGAATATATGGTGTTGTAGTTCTGGTGTCTGTGTTGTTTGAGGCCTGAATGTAGGAATATATGGTGTTGTAGTTCTGGGGTCTGTGTTGTTTGAGGCCTGAATGTAGGAATATATGGTGTTGTAGTTCTGGGGTCTGTGTTGTTTGAGGCCTGAATGTAGGAATATATGGTGTTGTAGTGTTGGTGTCTGTGTTGTTTGAGGCCTGAATGTAGGAATATATGGTGTTGTAGTTCTGGTGTCTGTGTTGTTTGAGGCCTGAATGTAGGAATATATGGTGTTGTAGTGTTGGTGTCTGTGTTGTTTGAGGCCTGAATGTAGGAATATATGGTGTTGTAGTTCTGGTGTCTGTGTTGTTTGAGGCCTGAATGTAGGAATATATGGAGTTGTAGTTCTGGTGTCTGTGTTGTTTGAGGCCTGAATGTAGGAATATATGGTGTTGTAGTTCTGGTGTCTGTGTTGTTTGAGGCCTGAATGTAGGAATATATGGTGTTGTAGTTCTGGTGTGTGTGTTGTTTGAGGCCTGAATGTAGGAATATATGGTGTTGTAGTTCTGGTGTCTGTGTTGTTTGAGGCCTGAATGTAGGAATATATGGAGTTGTAGTTCTGGTGTCTGTGTTGTTTGAGGCCTGAATGTAGGAATATATGGTGTTGTAGTTCTGGTGTCTGTGTTGTTTGAGGCCTGAATGTAGGAATATATGGTGTTGTAGTTCTGGTGTCTGTGTTGTTTGAGGCCTGAATGTAGGAATATATGGTGTTGTAGTTCTGGTGTCTGTGTTGTTTGAGGCCTGAATGTAGGAATATATGGTGTTGTAGTGTTGGTGTCTGTGTTGTTTGAGGCCTGAATGTAGGAATATATGGAGTTGTAGTTCTGGTGTCTGTGTTGTTTGAGGCCTGAATGTAGGAATATATGGTGTTGTAGTTCTGGTGTGTGTGTTGTTTGAGGCCTGAATGTAGGAATATATGGTGTTGTAGTTCTGGTGTCTGTGTTGTTTGAGGCCTGAATGTAGGAATATATGGTGTTGTAGTTCTGGTGTGTGTGTTGTTTGAGGCCTGAATGTAGGAATATATGGTGTTGTAGTTCTGGGGTCTGTGTTGTTTGAGGCCTGAATGTAGGAATATATGGTGTTGTAGTTCTGGTGTGTGTGTTGTTTGAGGCCTGAATGTAGGAGTATATGGTGTTGTAGTTCTGGTGTCTGTGTTGTTTGAGGCCTGAATGTAGGAATATATGGTGTTGTAGTTCTGGTGTCTGTGTTGTCTGAGGCCTGAATGTAGGAATATATGGTGTTGTAGTTCTGGGGTCTGTGTTGTTTGAGGCCTGAATGTAGGAATATATGGTGTTGTAGTTCTGGTGTCTGTGTTGTTTGAGGCCTAAATGTAGGAATATATGGTGTTGTAGTTCTGGTGTCTGTGTTGTTTGAGGCCTGAATGTAGGAATATATGGTGTTGTAGTTCTGGTGTCTGTGTTGTTTGAGGCCTGAAAGTAGGAATATATGGTGTTGTAGTTCTGGTGTCTGTGTTGTTTGAGGCCTGAATGTAGGAATATATGGTGTTGTAGTTCTGGTGTGTGTGTTGTTTGAGGCCTGAATGTAGGAATATATGGTGTTGTAGTTCTGGTGTCTGTGTTGTTTGAGGCCTGAATGTAGGAATATATGGTGTTGTAGTTCTGGTGTCTGTGTTGTTTGAGGCCTGAATGTAGGAATATATGGTGTTGTAGTTCTGGTGTCTGTGTTGTTTGAGGCCTGAATGTAGGAATATATGGTGTTGTAGTTCTGGTGTCTGTGTTGTTTGAGGCCTGAATGTAGGAATATATGGAGTTGTAGTTCTGGTGTCTGTGTTGTTTGAGGCCTGAATGTAGGAATATATGGTGTTGTAGTTCTGGTGTGTGTGTTGTTTGAGGCCTGAATGTAGGAATATATGGTGTTGTAGTGTTGGTGTCTGTGTTGTTTGAGGCCTGAATGTAGGAATATATGGTGTTGTAGTTCTGGTGTGTGTGTTGTTTGAGGCCTGAATGTAGGAATATATGGTGTTGTAGTTCTGGGGTCTGTGTTGTTTGAGGCCTGAATGTAGGAATATATGGTGTTGTAGTTCTGGTGTGTGTGTTGTTTGAGGCCTGAATGTAGGAATATATGGTGTTGTAGTTCTGGTGTGTGTGTTGTTTGAGGCCTGAATGTAGGAATATATGGTGTTGTAGTTCTGGTGTCTGTGTTGTTTGAGGCCTGAATGTAGGAATATATGGTGTTGTAGTTCTGGTGTCTGTGTTGTTTGAGGCCTAAATGTAGGAATATATGGTGTTGTAGTTCTGGTGTCTGTGTTGTTTGAGGCCTGAATGTAGGAATATATCGTGTTGTAGTTCTGGTGTCTGTGTTGTTTGAGGCCTGAATGTAGGAATATATGGTGTTGTAGTTCTGGGGTCTGGGTTGCAGCCATCGGCACCAGCATGATCACCGATGTGAGAAACTGGATCTAACGGTGAAGGTGTCGAAGACAGCAGAACATGTCAAACAGATACTTGGTGAGATGAAATTTTGTTTTCCTTTTTTGTTTTATTATGCCCGATCATCAATATTCCACATGGTTGCATATAAATAATCAAATCTTGACCAGATAAACCAGTGATTGAATGAATGAGCAACATCACACACCATCAGGGCAGCAGGCAAGCAACTAGTCACCGAGTCCACCCAATTCATTAGTCATCTTTAACAAGCTTAAATTGCTTGGCACCTCGGTTCACTTGGTTGTCGTACTTATGTATTACTGGTGGGTAACCCAGGAAGATTTGGGTTAGATTGGTCTTCAGAAACCCATGGTTGTGAGAGGCAATTAACGGGATCAGGTGGTCAGGCTTGCTGAATTGGTGGACGCAGTCATCGTAACCCAATTGCGTAAATTGATTCTCAAGATGTCAAGCACTCATTTAGCTGGAATATTGCTGAGTAAGGTGTTAAACAACAAACAAACGAACATTAATGTGTGTGTTTGGGTTGGTAAGATGGAAGCAAAGATCTTGGCATTTGACACAATTGAAGAAAGAGGCCTCTACTAATATTTCTGAGAATTTGAAACAGACATGAACCTGTACAAAGCAGACTTCATCTCATGTAGGTGAAGTAACAATACCATATGAAAGCCTTTTTTTCAAATTTAATCAGTTGGTTGTCTAAAATGGGCTCTCTACAAAATGGGTAACATTGATGTTTTGACTTTGTTTCTAGTGAATGATCAGAAGGGTTGTTGTCAGGGTGAGTTGTCAGGGTGAGTTGTCAGGGTGAGTTGTCAGGCCAAGCAGCATTGCTGTGAAGATCAGAGGGAGAGGTTACCAGGGCAGAGTTATATGGCAGTGTATTGTATTGTTAAACAATGATTTTAACTGTGTTTCATTGTTTCTGTTGAGATTCGGTAGAGGCTCATTGCATTGTATTTGGGAAATGTAAGCAGTCGTCAGGAAGTTACTATTTTTAGACTTTAGTGTGCAAGCTCCTCACCGCGATAGCCCATTCGCGGAGAGTGTAACAAAGTTGTCATATGCAGGGAAAGAGTGTGGTGTGTAAACTTCTGGTCCATATACTGCGGAGAGTGAGAGTATGTTATAGAAATATAGGGGAATTTCAGTAATGTTCTATGATTTGAGTACTGTCTGGAACCGTCCAGTGGCATGGTAGGTTGTATATAAGGGGTCAGTGGCATGTTTGCAGGACACACATGCATTTTCATCATGTCAAGAGCAGCCTTCATGTGAGGATGGCTCATCATCCCTGATTCCCTGCCTAGCCCATCTCGGAAGCTTGACCACTGTCACCTTTGGGTGAACATATATATTATTATTACTGACTTTTGCTATCACCACTGTATTTTTGTATTTGATACTGACCACTGCCATGATATTATTCATTGCCACATAATTGCTGTGCAGTATTTTGTGCTGATTTGTAACCTTCGTGAATTTTGTAATACATTTGTTGATTGTGTACCACTTGTTGGTTGTTTGTTGGCTTCATACACAGTTTACATACAGATTTCTGGGTTAACATATTGTTTCAATTTGGGAATCGACACGGAACAAGACTTCCACAGTCTGATGTCAAGAATCCCAGATTCAACCTGACTGATCCTAGATTTGTCAATATTCACATGCTTATGGGTTAACATCCTCATGCTACCCCAGCATTGTGCTGACTTAATACTGAAGTACTGAGGAGACACCTTTGTTTCAGAATCAAAGAAAGGCACAATTGGTCCTCCGAAGCACCGGGGCTCGAAGAATCCGAAGATGGCCGCTAAAGTTGCCTTGATGAAGCTGAAGCAGCATGCGGTGGGTGAGAAGGGGATCCCGGAGTGTGAGAAGATCCACCTCGCCGTCCAGCTGCCGGCGTCACACACACACAAGGCCATGTATTTCTCAAAGGTCAGTTGCCCAACCACACAGGCTGTTCTAAGCTGATATACCATGCAAACCTGCTTTCCTCAGGACATATCACATTAAAATTCTTTGGAGACATTGAGGCTTTGGAGATATCGTATTACAATGCTCAAATGACATCACAAATCTCTCTGCTACTGATGGGGGTTAGCTGTCCCATTTCCGTGCAAGACACTGGTTATTACTATACAAACTGAAAAAGAATGATTATTGGTGATGAATAGAATCTCTCCCTCTGTCTCTCGATATCAAATATATCAACACTCTTGAGAAACGACCTGATATCAAAAGACACTCATGTCAGGTTCTCAATATATACTGAACAAAAACAATTAGTGATCATGAATATTTTTGGGGATATTTTTATGAAATTGTGTCTTTAGTCACTCCAAAACAATATCCCCCAAAATATCCATGATCCCTAACTTCTTTTGTTCAGTATATGTGGAACTGATGTGTTTGGTTTGCTGTATTCCAATATATCGGTGCTTGCACCATTGACTCTGGCAGGTTTCAGGACATTTTGTGGACTGCTGACAATGCCAATGAAGAAATTATAGCATGGTGTATTTCTGTTTATTGTGGGTTTTCTTTTGTCCTGACAGAAGTGGACAGTAGGCAGAATGATTGACTTCGCTGCATCAAAAGCTGGTTTCACAAATCTCAACAACACAGGAGCTGAGAAGGTGATAATACTTTTTAATTTTTTTTGTGTGTGTGCGGCACTCAGTAATAATCCAGCTATATGATGGTGGTCTGTAAATAATCGAGTCTGGACCAGACAAGCCAGTGATTAATATCATGAGCATCGATCCACGCAATTGGGATCGTTGACATGCATCAACCAGGTCAGTGAGCCTGACCACCCGATCCCGTTAGTCGCCTTTTACGACAAGCATAGTCGCCTTTTACGGCAAGCATGGGTTGCTGAAGACCTATTCTATCCCGGAATCTTCCCGGGTGCTCTTATGATAAGTATGGTTTGCTGAGGATCAATTCTAAACCAGAATCTCCATTGGGTGTGATTCTACTTAATGTCAGAACTTTCTGGGCAGGAGCAGGTTCTCTTGATTAAACAGTATACTTAACCATATTGTGGGGGAACAGGGGTAGCCCAGTGGTTGTAGTGTTGACCTGTCACACTCAAGACCAGTATTGATTCCCTACATGTGTACTAAGTCAGAAGAGCTTTAGTGGTGTCCCAGACAGAATTTGGCTGGAAGGCCTCTAATCAGGGCTTAAAGCCCTCTTTTTGAGCCACCTTAAGTTGGTAATGCTACCTTAGTTCTGTAATTTAGACTTTAGGGTGGGGTTAACCAACTCACTTACTCTGTTTCAGATTTTTTTTTTGGTTTGTTTGTTGTCTAAAGCTACACTCAGCAATATTACAGCTATATGACGGTAGTCGGCTGGTAAATAATTGAGTCTGGACCTGACAATCCAGTGATTGACATCATGAGCATCGATCCACTCAATTGGGATCGATGACATGCATCAGCCAAGTCAGTAGGCCTGACCAGGCGATCACGTTAGTCGATCATGTTAGTCGCCTCTTACGACAAGCATAGTCGCCATTTCCGGCAAGCATGGGTTGCTGAAGACATATTTTAACCCAGGTCTTTACGGGTCCTCTGTTTCAGAAGCTGCGCCTGTTCGTGTTGGACACTGGGGCGTTACTTCCGGTAGAGGTATCTCTGGAATCCCTCCTGGACGGGGAAGCTCAGCTGTACAATGGGTCGTCAGTTGTATTGGAGAATGTAGCCCCTGACTGTCACAATATACACGACCTACCCTCATAGCACTGCCATGTTGTTCATGTCAATACATTGTAAATAAATCATGCTGATGTTGGTGGACAGTTTGGTTGTGAATGGTTTATATTGCTGTGTGGTGTTAAATATAAAAGCAAACAAACAGAACATCTGAAATGGGAGGCGACAATTATGAGGAGCAAATAGCCACTTCAGGGGATACCTGACCTACATCCTCAATCACTGCAGACACTGCAAGTGTCATGTGGCATACACTTATTTATTATGTTTTGGAGTGAGTTGACTTTATCGCTGCTTTTAATAACATTCCAGCTTATCATGGCAGTACTCTATGCATTGTTGAGAATCAAACCCTTGGGAAGGCCGACGCTTTGACCACAAGGCCCTGTCCAGAGAAGCAACCATTAGCACAGAGAAACAAGATGGGGCGGTGAAATGAAATGGGTTTAAACGTGGCATCCAAGCTTATTGCACTTATAAAGCAACGTGTGCGTGCGTGCGTGCGTGCGTGCGTGCGTGCGTGCGCGCCACTCAGAAAGAATATACTGACTCCGAGCCGACCAGCACTTGTTTAAGTCCCTGAATGCCCAGCGCCAGGGAGGGTAACAGGTACAGTCTTTTAACGTCTTTTGGTATGACCTTCCATCTCCAGGCAAAAGCTCAACCCCCAGACCACGGTGGCTGTCTTTGAGGAACACTTTTATGGTCGACATTTTATTACAAACGCAAAATAACATGACAACTACGCCAATACACGAATTTCAAGATGTCTTGAAAAACGTGTGGCATCTCTCTTGTGAAAGTTGTAGCTCTCTATAATTTCATCCTTTAATTTATGAAAGTAAACTGGATAATATAAGTATGGCCCCGAACGGAAGTAAACGAAGAGTCATGATGTGGTCATTTTCTGTCATATTCATTTGTCATATTACAAGGCTCAGGAAGAAAACCATTGAAACATATAAGTGTCAACAAACAAACATCAAATGACAAATGGACCATGCATCACTTGTATGGACAGATAGAAGTATGGTTCAAGTTTCTTAAAATGGCACTTTAGACACCTGCTGGGAAAGAGAAAATACTGTTCTTATAAGACAATCAGCTTGGTTCAAGGACTGATGGTGAAACCATTAGAACAAGGGTTTCAAAAAGGACTTTTGCAGATGTGTAGCCATTAGTATTAGTATTGTTTTAACACAACATTGTTGACACCATGATCGCGGGTTTCGCCAAAATGGTAATCATCTAAGACGTGCGTCACTTCGGGCTTTCAACCCACAAGCTGACACGCTGTGATATAACTGAAACTGTTCGACTTGACTTTAAACCCCCACTCACTCAATACTAATACAACGTACGTTTTGTTGTTGAAAAGAACAATGGCTGACACAGCTTGTCATATGTCTCCACCATTATAAGCACAGATAATGTAAGCGGGCCCAATCTAATCCATGTGAACGCGTTTACTCATGTGTTTATATTTACACCAGGAGCAAATTTGCATCATGTCTGGAGCAAGTGCTAATATAAATGTAAATTTTCACTGTGTGTATATGTTGTAATGTCAACGTTTATGCCAACGTCAGAGGACGATCGAATTAATATACTCACGGCCAAAAGAAACGTGAACTAAAGAAACATATAGAGAAGTATGTATGTTAAGAAGAGATGTTTTTAATGTGTACCAATTAATGACAAAACTAACAATCATTCAAATGTAACCACAGAGTGTCTTCATTTTTATCACGATATACTGCACGTGTTTCCAAACTTTACACGCTAATCCTGCACAAGACGAATGGTGCATCGCAAGTAATGGATCTATGACGTCACATGTGATGCGTTCATGAGCGTCGGTTCACACAACATATCAGCATGTTCGTTTGTTCGTCGAACCCATATAATATCTCTTGAATATACATAATTCTTCATACATTAACCAACATGTGTAGTACTCCCGTTTCTGTTGTCGGTGAGTGTATATTTGTTGATTTGCCAACACCAAACAAATTGTCAACAGTTCGGTATTCTGAAGTTGCCAACTTTTATGAGTTGGGCGGACGGTGTTTTCTTTTGGTTTCAAGGAGTCAAACCTGTGTACAAATTAAATCAAACACATGTTGCTTCATGTGAAGATCTTCGGTAAAGTAACTCTCTTCTCAAACAACTTTGATTGGAAAACAACAATGTTTTAAGTCATGAACAAACTGACGAATATGTTTGCCTTACACAATTTACATACTTTATTTACACACCTAGGATGCTTTTCATGTGAACGCATGGTACATTTACATATACACACGTATGAAAAGTTCCACATGTGTAAAATTACTTACGTCTGTAAATGTGCATGTGGACGGGGTATAAGTGAGTCCAATCATTCTGTATCCTCAAGGCCCATTGTAACCCCAGCTTCACTTGTTAGTTCTCAGCTTTCCAGTTGACATATAAGAATGTTATAGACTAAAAGATCTCCGTCGTATCCATTGTCTTCTATTGCCTCCAGCTTGGAGATATAGATGATAGAGGATGATTCATGCGAATTGGCTCTTTTGTTTGAGAACAAATTCTCGAGTAAAATTTAATCATTATAGAAAGAAGATATAAAACGGCAAGGTTGATTGCTGAACTTGTGTCATTGATGTTGATTTTCCAATTGGCGTATGAGTCTGTTGTAGACTTTAACCTCTCCGTCGTATCCATTGTCTTCTACAGCCTCCAGCTGGGAGATGTAAGCTTGGGGTAAGCCGCTTTGTCTCGCCCCCCTCACAATCACATCCTTGTACTGCGGGGAGGGGGAATGTGCGATGTCATACTCCCCGTCCAGCTCGTACGTCCGACACGTGTGCGTTGTGCCGTCGGGTGTCGTTACTGTCACGGTCCGGCGCTGGTAGAAAGTCTCCTGACTGGCAAGCAAAGCAAATATGTTAATTCTCCATAACCATGTGGTTGTTGTTGATATTCATACCAGAACAGTGATATGTCCCAACACCACGCGTCTCCGTCCCCTGAACGTGATGTCTAATAGCTGGAATGTAAACTAAACAGTGGACCCGTGAAGATCCGGGGTAGAACAGGTCTTCAGCAACCCATGCTTGCCGTAAAAGGCGACTATGCTTGTCGTAAGAGGCGACTAACGGGATCGGGTGGTCAGGCTCACTGACTTGGTTGATGCATGTCATCGTTTCTCAATTGTGTGGATCGATGATCATGATGTCAATCACTGGATTGTCTGGTCCAGACTCGATTTTGTCAGACCGCCGTCATAAAGCTGGAATACTGCTGAGTGCGGCGTTAAACTGAACAGTGACATTAAAAGTGAATAACTATATTTATCACAGGTCATACCAGAACAATATGTTTTACATTTAACATTTAAATAAATATATCATTCTGAAAATTTGAACACGTATCCACCAGAATATGAAGGTAAACTGGAGTTATCTAACCATGAATGTCGACAATTGGTACCCACCTGTCCAGATTGTCGCTGTCGGCAATATCAAGCTGCCATATGATGCCCCAGACACTGGATCCAAGACGACTCCTGATGGTGGCGGGCGCACCCGCCCACAGCATCGTCTTGGTGTCACATGGTGCGTCAAACGTCAGGCGGTAGTCCTACAGTGTCAGACAAAATTAATGAAACATACTAAATTTATTATTAAATATATTAGTTACACACATTATATGCATACTAGACAGGAACTGGACAGTCAAAGATCAGATGAAAGTCTTGAGGTGGGATGTTTGTTTGTTTGTTGTTTAACGCCCTACTTAAGAAAATTCCAGCTAAATGACTACGGTCTGTAAATAATCTGGACCAGACAATCCAGTGATTGACATCATGAGCGTCGGTTTACTCAACTGGGATACGATGACATGCATCAAACAAGTCAGCGAGTCTGACCACCTGATCCCTTTAGTCGCCTCTTACAATAAGCATGGGTTGCTGAAGACCAATTCTTACCCGGGTCGTTAATTCATCTAAATTCAATGTTTAGCTAAGTTTGAAAATCAAGTGAGTTTATATAGTTTGTTTCAATTTTTTATTCATTTCAGAAGGATGTTACATTGCCACTTGTTTTCTCGTACAACTTCATGAAGAGTTTGACAGAGATGCAGTCAGACGGAAAACATATAATATACTGTAGTACAGTCATGTTTCTTGACATATGGACGAGGTCGTATATTAGTAAGTGCATGAATGTAAATGCATATATATATATCTATATCTATATCTATATATAGAGGGGGCGGTCGGGTAGCCTAGTGGTCAAAGCGTTCGCTCGTCACGCTGAAGACCCGGGTTCGATTCCCGACATGGGTACAATGTGTGAAGCCCATTTCTGGTGTCCCCCGCCGTGATATTGCTGGAATATTGCTAAAAGCGGCGTAAAACCATACTCGCTCACTCACTCACTATATATAGAGTTTATATTATTCCTTGTCAGTCGTAAACATCTCCTGAGATACCACTGAAACAATGAAGCTCAAACATCACACACACATATTCCCACCAGTGTCGAAATCCGTTACGAAGATCCGTGAAGATCTGCGGTGGAATAAGAGGCAACAGTGCTTGTCGTAAGAGGCAACTGCGTGGATCGATGCTCATGACATCAATCATTGGTTTGTCTGGTCCAGACTCGATTATTTACAGCCCGCCGTCATATAGCTGTAATATTGCTGAGTGCGGCGTAAAACAACCAACCAACCAAATCCGTTACGGCGGCCATATTGTCACTGTGTCCCGTTTGAGTATAATTTCGTACTTTAATTTGACCTCTACCCTGTGACCAAGATCCAAAATGAACCGATGAAGCTGTAACTTGACCTGCTTGCTCCCATGAATGTCTAAGAGGTTCAAATAAAATTTCCAATATGGCCGACACGGCAGAGGTATTAATACATATAGAATACTAAACGACCTCCCGTGTAATACCAATTTTATGAAACGAGTGAATAGTTGTGGTATCTGACTCGCTTTCGCTCGTCAGATACCACAACTATTCACTCGTTTCATAAAATGTGTTATACACGGGAGCGAGTTTAGTATTTTATTTATTACTTGCACTTTATAACGTTTTTAGAATTAAACTGTTGAGTGTGAATAGGCTGACACCTACACGATCCACGGCATAATCCAGTTGAGTTTAACACAATAAAACTTTAAACACGTCAAAAGTTGAAACGTATGAATTTAATACCATACAACGGCCCACCTTTAGAATTCAGGCGTCCGTTCCACAAAATTATAGTAGCGTTAAGGTTATCGTAAATCACATACTTTAACTTAGACCAACGACTGTCGTTGTGCTACCGTACGATCGCCTTGTGGAACGGGGCCTTGCACCTCAAAGTTTACAATGACGTCACAATACCCGATGACGGGTTTGTTTTTGTTCCACACGGTTATAACTACAATTACTATTGTTTAATTAATTAATATTGATTGATATTTAAGGATTGACTGTGTATTTTTTTCGGTTCATTGAGGTATGAATCGAAAAACCAATGTGCAAACTGTATGAATCCGCGTCGGTCAGTTACCGCCAGATTCAAACATTACTTCCCAGATTACGGTAAAACACAGTTTGAAAAATGTTAGTTAGAAAGGAAACCCGAAGACATGAAAGTTGTGGAACCGAGGCGAGCGGGGAAAAAACAGGCGAGCGAGCCTGCACGTTTGCTGTTTCATTCATTCTCGGCCTTCGGTTTCAAAAGGTAGTTTGGACAATGAATATGCATGAAAGTCGCTAAATGTCCTGTGCATGACGATACACGTGAGCAGAAAGGGAATTCCCTCGGCTGTAATCTATATTGGGATTCCCCGACATTCCGAAGTAATAAAAGTAGTGCGCCTCGGTGGGCGTGGCTTAATTTTTTACATTCATTGGGAAATGAATGCAATAACACGTGACCAATTCAGCTAATCAGAATACAGGAATTTCAATGAACACAACGAAAATTTAATTATTTATTATTACAACGAACGTGTATATAAACAAACAATAAACATGTATACAAACATTACTTGTTATGAATAACAATACATTAATATTTACAATAACAGGACACAAACTAATGCCTGTAAATTTGTGAAATTATTGATTTACAGTTACCTTAAAGATATCAAGCGTGACTTACTGTTTTAGAACATAAAAGAAACATGTTTATCCTCAGAGCTACTGAATATTTCAATACCATATATTCCCAAAACATGTTTCCATGTTTGTAAATCTTTTCTTTAAGGTACAAACGTTAACACCGGTGTGTAGAATGTGTGTCATCAGCTTTTACGTGTATGACTCGATAAACATTTATAAACATTAAAGTCACTTCTTATAAATATAGGGGGCATGGGTGGCCCAGTCGTCTAAGGCGCCGCGATTCGCCGTGCAGATTTGCGTCCCTTTGGCACGCCAGGAACCTATGATTGAGGGTTCGGATCCCGGTTCCCCCCGATTATGTTTCTAGGTTTGTCTGTACCATACCCGTGCTCGTGGGTTTCACCGAAGTGGTAAACGTCTGAGACCTGCATCACTTCGGGCTTTCCTCCCACATTAAGCTGACACGCCGTGATATAACTGGAATACTGTTTAAAGCGGCGTTAAGCCCAACTCACTCGTTTAAACCCAACCCACTCGTTTAAAACCCAAGTCATACTCTCACATAAATATACGTCAACAACTATGGCTTCACAGAAGGTTTATATAACCATAAACACGCACAAACATGTAGACAAGGATATTCATAAATCAGTCGCATATTCAGCGCTATCATGTTATACAAGCCCGCCCTTTCTGTCGACAAATCAGGAAACGGTAGTTTGCGTGGTCTAATTCTCTGTGGGTTTATGGAAGCATAAACGTAAAACATGTTTGGCTACAAAATCAAATACCATGGAATCATTTGCAGTTGCACAATAATTATTGACTTCATCAGTAATATTTTAACAGTCTCTCTCAGCCTCTGGGGCGGTCGGGTAACCTAGTGGTTAAAGCGTTCGCTCGTCACGCCGAAGACCCGGGTTCGATTCCCGACATGGGTTCAATGTGTGAAGCCCATTTCTGGTCTCCCCCGCCGTGATATTGCTGGAATATTGCTAAAAGCGGCGTAAAACCATACTCACTCACTCCCAGCCTCTGTTGAAATACATGTAATAATATTCAAACGTGTCAAATAAACGATTGACAATATGTCCAGAGACCTTGACAAATGTGAACCAAGACCCATGGGGTCATATGTGTTGGGCAGTACGGCTGTAAGACCCATTCAAGTATTACTGAATAAAGGTGAGCTCCTGAACCTCTGATACTCTGGTTTTGGCTTCCCATCGATGTTTAGCTCCGTTGTATCATACACCGGCTCCGTGGTCAAGTGGTAGAGCTCCGACCGGAGAGCGGAAGGTCCGGGGTTCTATCCCCGGCCGCGTCATACAAAAAGACGTTAAAAGATGGTACTTGTTGCCACCCTGTCTGCATGGCGCTCGGCATTTTACGGGCTAAAACAAGTGCTGGTCGGCTCGGAGTCAGTATACTGCGGCATGGTACTATAAATCGGCATCAGTCCGGACTAGAACAAGCCACACACACACACACTTATATAAGTGCAATAATCTCGGACGCGACGTTAAACCCAATTTCACCTCCGCTCACCGCTGTAACATACACAAGTAACTGTGAATATGTGAGATTGATGGTGGAACCACACACCGCCCTGTATTTGTTGTTAGTATGAATGGATATCGACCTCGTCAGCAATAAACAGAAGTTCAGACCGCTTGTCATTACAATCTAAGTCAATATCATGTTGACATCCAAGCGCGACCAAGCACTGTTTCTGCATGCCCTGTACAACCATCGTTGTCAGTTCCGATCAGCGATGGTTTAAGAGGGATGTGCCTTCCCTTTTCAACACTGTGATTCTGACTTGTCACCCGCCCGCGGAGGGTAGCTTCGCACCATGGGCACAAACACAAGGACCAACAGTCTGAACCTGCGGTTCCTCTCGTACTGAATAGCATTGCGACAATATTTCTTTATATTTTTGTGTTGGATGTCTGATCAAAATGTAAAATCGTAGTTGCAATCTATGCATGGACTACTTTCAATTATTAAATCAATACATGCACTCGATGTACCATGAAACATATGTTACACTTAAAATAATTGTCACTGTCAAGAATAATTGTGTTTTTCCACCGTGATGTCGTTGTATTCAACACAACACCTTTTTCACATTCTGACACATCGATGGAGGCCTTCATTTGATCCCAGCAGGGTTAAAATAAAACAGGGGATTCCTCATCAACACAGTAACTTGATGATATTGAGTATATTTTTTGCACTAAGCAGTACTCCAGTTCTATGACTGGGTCTCCAATCAACCTTATGCGGTACGATTTGGTTCATCATGGCGTCTGGGTTTGGTAAATTTAAACTACCAATATCTCAGAATCAGTTCCTTGTAGCTTGTTTCGATATGACTTCGAGTTATCAATGTAACGCACCATTAACAAAAGTGTACTCTCTTGGAATAGTGTTGCAACATCAAATGTATTTATTTATCTATCAATCGTAACATGATTGGTTGGTTGGTTGGTTGGTTGTTTTACGCCGCACTCAGCAATGTTACAGCTATATGACGGCGGCCTCTAAATAATCGAGTCTGGACCAGACAATCCAGTGATTGACATCACGAGCATCGATCCACACAATTGGGATCGATGACATGCTTCAACCAGGTCACCGAGCTTGACCACCCGATCCCGTTAGTCGCCTCTTACGACAAGCACAGTCGCCTTTTACAGTAAGCATGGGTTGCTGAAGACCTATTCTACCCCGGATCTTCACGGGTCTCGTAATATGAAGAAATGAACGATTGATGTACTTAAATTAGGAAGAAATAGTGAGACGACGCCTCATAGGCGTAACGCTAGTCAGTGACCGTACCGGAAGAAATAATTATAAGAGATTTTTTATAAGACTGCAGTGAGAATCTGCTTGACTTTCTGACGTCCTGCCTAAGAATGACAGCTTCTTATACGAAGCCATACTGTGCAGGCTTGTTGCATGTTTGTTGTTTGATACCGCAGTCAACAAGATTCCAGCTATATGACGGCGGACTATGAAGATTTTAAAGAAACATCCAAATAAATCAAATATCCACACACGGAGATCATACCACTAATATTATTGCACTATTCAATTAACTACGACCTCCTCCGTGGTCTAGCTGGGAGAGAAAGGTTATTTTTTATATGCCCGGTCGCTTCATAATCGATAACAGGTGTTACCCTTCTTGGTGCTCGGCATTTAAGAGATAAAACAAGGACAGGTCGACCCGGAGTCAGTGTAGTATACTGAGTGGGGTATTCATGTTAAACTGCGTCAAGGTATATATGTCAGTAGGCTAGCACTATAAGCCGGCGTTAGTCCGGACTAGTACATACACGCACGTCCCTAAGCTGAACCACGTGGTTCTTATCTCGTTGTCGAAGTGTTTGAAAATATACTGAACACTGATTGAGTCAAATACTCACATTCAGTCGGGCTCTGTGAATGAACTGCGCTGTGGGGTTATTTAACAATAGCCTCTCCGCCAGAAGGTTACTGCCGTATGCAAAGTACAGGAAGGTTCCAGCCATGTCACACGTACGACTCTCGTCGAGGAATGTGACCGTCACAGCAAGAGTTGTCTCCCTTATGTTGACTCCGTTTGACTCACAAATGAATAAAGCGCAAGTGATTTGAATTTGGCTAGCAAAGCAATTTTCTTGCGTTCATGTCTGCATAATAAGAATTAGACCACGCCCACTAGAGCATTGTTTCCTGAATGGTTGACGATAGAGTAGAGGGTTTGTGTTGCATTATTGTGCTGAGCGATACTTAACATAAGTGAGGACAAAATATATGGATGAACCCCTTCTTTGTTACCATAGGAGCGGCGTTTCGGTGTAGGTTCTAACACCGTTATCAAGTAATAAACTTGTTCATCCATATATTGTATCCTTACTTAGTACTCCAACTTCTAAATGCCTTTCAAAGAAGTTATTTAACATAGTGGTCGATGTTTGTGTCTACGAGCGTCTGTGATTATTATTGTTAATAAGTGTAAGAATTGACTTCAATATTTATTTGCGTTTATAAAATCGCTTTGCTGATTTACACAGCGTGCACGCCGGTATTCACGTTTATATCTCCACATACAGTAAACTACGGTTATAACGAACACGCTTATAACGAACTGACGTATATAACGAACTTACCTTTTTGGTCCCGACTATTTGCTGTACTTATGCTGTAAATATGCTTATAACGAACTACGGTTATAACGAACTGAAATTAGTAGTCCCTTTGAGTTCGTTATAACCGTACTTTACTGTCTCTCATTTCTTAAACCCCAATAGTCCATACAAGGCGCTGATGTAGAAACTGTTCGATGCCGAGAGTGTTCAAACAAACGGTAGCTCCAGGGCACGGAGAGGATTCTTAACACCTATTCAAGCGGGGAGATGATTGTATGGAGTCCACACACTTGATCTAGTTGTCTTGGGTTAAGGGTAACGAAACTTACTAGCCCAGGTAGGGAGTGTTCACTGTTATCTTTACTTTAGACTACGTGGGGGAGTGGGGGCGTCCACAGCTTAACGTTTACGGGGTATGAAAAAAACAACAATTTAGTTTATCAACAAGTTTGTTTATCATAACCATTAAAAAATATTATAGGATATTATACATGTATAGCCAAGTCCTGGTCAACTCATCTCTCAAGGGAGATGAGGTACACTGTCGATGTGGTCCAGCAGCCACTGGTCTCCCGTGATAAACTGGTCCTCAGCCCTCTTCAGTGGTGTCTAGCCGGGAGAGCCACATTTCAGAAATGGCTATTGCCGGTAGAGCCACATTTTCAGCTGAGAGCATTTCACCTATTCTAGCGGGTAATTAATTAATCCGATTACCGATACCTTTAAATGAGTGTCCCACATTTAAATTACATCCTCATCTTCACTACAGACAAGAACATTGAACATTTCCCGGGACATTAGTTAGAGGGTGTTTCTTTCACTTCACCCAATGTATCTGGAGGAGGGTGCAGAAAGAAGGTCTGGTGATGGACTATAAGGAAGATAAGGAGGTGAAGAAGCTGGCGAGAAGAGCTGCTGCCCTCCTTCTAGTACCTCGTGACAAAGTGGATGATGTATGGCTTGATGCCATTGCTGACTCTCCTGCTTGCCCTAAAGTGACTGCCTTCATGGACTACGTGACAACCAGTTGGGTTCAAGGAGGGGCCTTCATGCCAGAGATTTGGAACCATTTCAAAAACCAAGGCCACCGTACCAACAATCACCTGGAAGGGTGGCACAACAAGATAAAGAAACTTGCCAAGAAGTGCCACCCAACATCTACGAGGTAGTGAAGCTATTTAAGCGAGAGCAGTCACTCAAAGAGGTTGCAGTCCTGAGACTCTCTCACCAGTGGTCAGAACCTTCACGAAAAAAGAAGTACAAGGCAATCGATGCACGTATTGCGTCTCTCAAGATCCAGCTCCTGAACCAACACCTGAGTGAGATGGAATATGCTGACCACGTGGGCGACCTCCTTCATCTGCAGTAATGACATTAAATCCATTATGATATTCATATGCTATTCATATACAACAATGTAAAGTTTTGATGAATATGTTATCCTTGTTGAATAAAAAATGAGAAAACAAGACTTGTTTTGTTATATACGGTAACCTGATAGAATCACAAAGCATGTTTTGACAGCATAGCCGCGAGAGCCACATTATACACTCACGCAACCATAACCATTGCCGCGAGAGCCACATCAATTTGGGCTATCTATTTTCGAAATGTGGCTTTGCCGGCCTGTAACCTCTTCAGTCTCCGATCTACATCATCCCTTGTAACGTTGTGCCTGGCGACGCTGAGCTTATTGTTGAGCTTGTTCAACTGTGGACGTCCTGCTTGACCAGCAACTAGTGTTATACGTACAAATTCACCCGAGCGTGGTGACTGGTAAGACATAACGGAAAGGGGGAATCTCACATGGGACATGCGGCACAACTTTGTTTGTTCGTTCGATTGTTGTTTAACGCCGCGCTTAGCGATATTCCAGCTATATAATGGTGGGGTGTAAATAATCGTGTCTGGACCAGACAGTCCAATGGTTGACATCATGCGCATCGATCCACGTAATTGGGATAAGATGACATGCATCACCCAAGTCAGCGAGCCTGACCACCCGATCCCGTTAGTCGCCTCTTACGACAAGCAAAGGTTGCTGAAGACCAATTCTAACCCGGAATCTTCACGGGTCACACATCACATGAGTCATATGACACAACTAGTCAACCGGAAGAAATGTTCCAGGAAAATAGTTACAGATATTTTTTACAGATTTGGGTGGGAAAATACGTTACGGGAAAAAAAAGCTTCATACTCAAATTATATACTCGTAGCATTTATGACATTTTATTGGATGCACAGTGAGCTACATACACAGCATGAACAACAGTTTTTCATTTCAAGTCCAATGCTGCTTGTGAAGTCTGATATTCCACCTCCTTACTCCTCCAACTCCTTGCCAATTTGCACTACAGATTTTCAGTCTTCCACGATGTCGGAACACAGATTCCCGTGGTTCTTGCGCCCGCAAATTACCCGCCCTTGATTTGGATTAACATTTTACCGACCAATCAAACGTTGACATAATGAGAAGGGTAAGTGTAAGGGAGGTAACTCGTACAATTTCATCAAAATAACATCCTAGTTCTCGCTACCGCTAAACAAAGTTCTGAGGACATCCCATTACGGGTCACATCAGACCGACCAATGAAATGACAGACAAGAAGTCGACATTAGCCAAGCAGAAGGCAGCTTTCTCGTGCTTTACGGTACTAGTTTCAAACTGTCGACTACCCTTCGAAACATATTTTGACAAATTCTCGATTAAGAGTTTGAAATCTGAGCAAAAAAACATTCTGGAATGGCTAATAGATGGCCTAGATTGTGTGGATTCAGTCATAAAGCCCGTAACTGTTGTTCGGAATTTTTCTAGGTCCAGATCAGAAAACACACACAGACTGTCACTTTCTCGATCTAGTAAGCTACGCTTTGATTGGTCGGGATGAAAGGTCGCACTGACGTGAATGGACGTAATGGAATGTCCTCAGATTTTTGCTTATCAGTAGCGAGAAGTAAGATCTGATGTGATTGAAAACTCGTATTACCTAGAAACCAAAGACACCGCCAGTTTTAATGGACACGAATTCGAAGACATCGTTTCCATCAAAAAGATTTTTGAGGCCTTTTGCGCGTAAGTCAATGTTAAATTTCTCCCAAACTCGATCGTAATCAATGAGACTGGCCAACTCAACACTGCGTCTGGTTTGTAACTCGCATTCTCATTGGTCCGTTAGACCCAGTAGCATAGCCAATCAAATTGGCAGATGGAAATCAAAGGCGGGTAATTTCAGATAGCGAGAACCACGGGAATGAATGCAGGGGTTATTGTATGTTTATCGAAATGCCCTTGAGATATAGAGGATGATATTCATGCGAATTGGCACTTTTGTTTGAGACCAAATTCTTGAGTAAAGTTTAATCATTATAGAATGAAGATATAATACGGCAAGGTTGATTGCTGAACTTGTGTCATTGATGTTGATTTTCCAATTGGCGTATGAGTCTGTTGTAGACTTCAACCTCTCCGTCGTATCCATTGTCTTCTACAGCCTCCAGCTGGGAGATGTAAGCTTGGGGTAAGCCGCTTTGTCTCGCCCCCCTCACAATCACATCCTTGTACTGCGGGGAGGGGGAATGTGCGATGTCATACTCCCCGTCCAGCTCGTACGTCCGACACGTGTGCGTTGTGCCGTCGGGTGTCGTTACTGTCACGGTCCGGCGCTGGTATGTTTTTTCCTGTCTGCCATGTGATCCAAACATACACATTAGTTAAGTTTCATTTATCATAAATATAAACATATAAGTAATTTCAATCTACCGCGCTATTAACATGGTTGGTGTGTGAGTGAGTTAATGCTTTACGTCACATCGGCAATATTTCAGCCATATCGTGACGATAACATGGTTGGTAGTTTACACGCTCAGCAATATTCCAGCTACATAATGGCGGCTTGAAAGTGATGGAGTCTGAACCAGACAATCCAGTGATTGATATTATGAACAATGCCCCGCGTTGTCAGGGAACAATGTCGCATTATCAATGTCGCATTATCAACCAGGTCACCTAGCATGAAAACCGAATCCATGAACCGCCTCTTACAACAAGCAAATGCTACTGGGTATCCCAACAGGGTTGTATGGTATCTGACGTGAATGCAAAACACAAGACAAATAGAACGGTTCATAAGTTATACTCCGGAAACGCTCCCCACCCATATTACCCCCTAAGTCCAACTTGCTGCCCTGGAAACGCAAAACAATATTCCTGAAATGCAAAAGGCAGCAGTTCAGTGCTTTCCTGATGGATTATAAGAAAATGTGTATAACAAATTTCAGGGGAAGTTAACAAAGTATGAAATCATAAGAATGAGAAAAATGACAAAAAGATTCATAAATGATACCTAAATTGATTTCATAGATTCTATAATTTTTACAGTACACAACATGACATATTTCACTTTGGCTATGAAGGAATGGGTGGCAACTGTGAGCTGAACCCAACCCAAAAGGTTTGGAGATCGTGATATAACACGATACCCAAACCTTCAGATAATACGTTACCCAAACCTTTAGATAATACGATACCAAAACCTTTAGATATCGCGACACCAAAACCTTTAGATATCACGATGCCCAATACCTTTAGATATCACGATGCCCAATACCTTTAGATATCACGATGCCCAAACCTTTAGATATCACGATGCCCAAACCTTTAGATATCACGATGCCCAAACCTTTAGATATCACGATACCCAAACCTTTAGATATCACGATACCCAAATATTTAGATATCACGATGCCCAAACCTTTAGATATCACATTCCCATAACCTCTAGATATCACGATGCCCAAACCTTCAGATATCACGATACCGAAACCTTTAGATATCACGATACCCAAACGTTTGGATATCACGATACCAAAACCTTTAGATATCACGATACCCAAACCTTTAGATATCACCATACCCAAACCTTTAGATATCACGATGCCCAAACCTTTAGATATCACGATACCCAATTCCTTTAGATATCACGATGCCCAATGCCTTTAGATATCACGATGCCCCAACCTTTAGATATCACGATACCAAAATATTTAGATATCACGATGCCCAAACCTTTAGATATCACATTCCCATAACCTTTACATATCACGATGCCCAAACCTTCAGATATCACGATACCGAAACCTTTAGATATCACGATACCGAAACCTTTAGATATCACGATACCCAAACCTTTAGATATCACGATACCCAAATATTTAGATATCACGATACCCAAACCTTTAGATATCACGATACTCAAACCTTTAGATATCACGATACCCAAACCTTTAGATATCATGATGCCCAAACCTTTAGATATCATGATACCCAAACCGTTAGATATCACGATGCGCAATACCTTTAGATATCACGATGCCCAAACCTTTAGATATCACGATGCCCAAACCTTTAGATATCACGATACCCAAACCTTTAGATATCACGATGCCAAAACCTTTAGATATCACGATACCCAAACCTTTAGATATCACGATGCCCAAACCTTTAGATATCATGATGCCCAAACCTTTAGATATCATGATGCCAAAACTTTAGATATCACGATACCCAAACCTTCAGATATCACGATACCAAAACCTTTAGATATCATGATGCCCAAACCTTTAGATATCACGATACTCAAACCTTTAGATATCATGATGCCCAAACCTTTAGATATCACGATGCCCAAACCTTTAGATATCACGATGCCCAAACCTTTAGATATCATGATACCCAAACCTTTAGATATCATGATACCCAAACCTTTAGATATCACGATACTCAAACCTTTAGATATCACGATGCCCAAACCTTTAGATATCACGATGCCCAAACCTTTAGATATCACGATACCCAAACCTTCAGATATCACGATGCCCAAACCTTTAGATATCACGATGCCCAAACCTTTAGATATCACGATACCCAAACCTTCAGATATCACGATGCCCAAACCTTAGATATCACGATGCCCAAACCTTTAGATATCACGATACCCAAACCTTTAGATATCACGATGCCCAAACCTTTAGATATCACGATGCCCAAACCTTTAGATATCACGATACCCAAACCTTCAGATATCACGATGCCCAAACCTTTAGATATCACGATGCCGAAACCTTTAGATATCACGATACCCAAACCTTCAGATATCACGATGCCCAAACCTTAGATATCACGATGCCCAAACCTTTAGATATCACGATGCCAAAACCTTTAGATATCACGATACCCAAACCTTTAGATATCACGAAGCCCCAACCTTTAGATATCACGATGCCAAAACCTTTAGATATCACGATGCCCAAACCTTTTGGGGATACAAAATCTGATCCGGTCGTCAGAGAAAGACTACTAAGGGCAATTAAAAAACAAAACAACTAATGATTTCACGACCTCTCATTGAAGTATCTAAAATTAAGACTGACCCCTTCCCATGTGCACGGATGAATTGCATGGTCGACGTGCAACGTTTCGGGTGTGTTGGGGCGTTAGGTGTTGGTTCCGGCACCACTCTATCTCTGGCAGTCCTTTTCCACAGCATTCCTTTGTTCTGATGACCGATCATATGTTTAATGATCCCCTACTTTCTTTGAGCGAGTGAATGTGTGAAGCCCGCATTTAAAAGTCTTCCAGTTATATCTCGGCGTGTCAGCTTATTGGGGGAGGAAAGACCGAAGTGATGCAGGTCTCAGGCGTTTACCACTTCGGTGAAACCCATGCCACGTGCACGGGTATGGTGCTGACAAACCTAGAAACATAATCGGGGCAAACCAGGATTCGAACCCACGATCATAGGTTTCTGGCGTGCCCAAGGGACACAACACTGCACAGCGAATTGCGGTGCCTTCGACGACTGGGCCACTCGTGCCCCCTACTTTCTTTGAAGAGTAAATTTGGATCCATAAGTATTTAAAGCTAAGTGGTATTAACTTACCATGAAGGTCAACAATTGGTACCCACCTGTCCAGATTGTCGCTGTCGGCCATATCAAGCTGCCATATGACGCCCCAGACACTGGATCCAGGACAACTCCTGATGGTGGCGAGCGCACCCGCCCACAGCGTCTTGTTGATGTCACATGGTGCGTCAAACGTCAGGCGGTAGTCCTACAGTGTCAGACAAAATTAATAAAACATACTAAATTTATTACTAAATACATTAATTACTCACATCATATGCATACTTGACAGGAACTTGACAGTCAAAGGTGAGACGAAACTCCTGAGTTGTAATGTCTGTTTGTTTGTTGTTTAACTCTGTACTCAACAATATTCCAGCTATATGACGGCGGACTTTAAATAATCAAGTCTGGACCAGACAATCCAGTGATTGACATCATGAGCATCGATCTCAGAATAACCCACACTGTTACCCCCAATGTCATAGAATTTTCACAGACCAATACACGAAACTGTGGCAACAGGATCATTGACCCTTCCCGCCCAATCCGTTTAATGCCTCGTACGACCAACATTGGTCGCAGGGGACCTGTTCGTTCGAATCCGAATTATCCCCCGACTCACAACTATTGGCACGTCAATAGTGAAGTTCGGACATAACGATTTCAAAGGCGCTACGGTTGATTGAGCGCTCGGCTCACACCCATCTAACAGCAATGGGACGAACACATGTTGTAACCGGTAGTTTGCAAAATGGTTTTATGGCAGATTTGAGGAGGACATTTCTAAATTTGTGACCGAAATGGTGTAGTTCCCTATTGTGACTTGAACCATGTGATCCAGTGTTTATTGAGCTAACAATTGACTTGCCTTTGCAAGTGTTTGTGACGAGTGCCAACGGTGGGGCAGGATACGCTCACCGTTTCGCGAACATATGGTATCATCACAATTTGAAATGATTCATAAACATGCTTATGATATATTTTGAATCGTACAATGGCCTCTGCTTTCAAAAGAGATTTCCGATTATTATTGAAAGGTTTTGTTGCATATATTTACATGCATGACATTAGGGCGTGTCATATTGGTCTTGCTATCAATCACTAGTTTTTCTGGCACAGAATCGAATATTTACTGAGTATTATTCTGTGAAACTCAGTTGGATTACGCTGTGGATCGCGCAGATGTTGCCCTATGCAGACACGACAGTGGATCTTTCAGAAAATTATCAACGTCAAGTAATAAATAAGATACTAAACTCGCTCCCGTGTCATACCAATTTCACGAACCCATTCTTGCCGTAAAAGGCGACTAACGGGATCGGGTGGTCAGGCCCGTTGACTTGGTTGAAGCATGTCATCGATCCCAATTGCGCGGATCGATGCTCATGATATTAATCACTGGATTGTCTGGTCCAGACCTGATTATTTACAGGCCGCCGTCATATAGCTGGCATATTGTTGAGTGTGGCGTAAAACAACAAACCAATTTCACGAAACGCGTGAATTGTTCTGGTATCTGACTAGATTTCGCTTGTCAGATACAGGAACTATTCACTTTCATAAAATTGGTATTAAACGGAAACTCGTTAAGTGTTCTATATACAATACCTCTGCACGTGGTGTGAAATAACATTCAGTTAGTTATGGCCAAATAATATCAAAATGTCTTGTAGAATGTAGCGAGAGAGAGAGAGGACGTGATCCCAACGTCAACTGCGTGTAAAAGATTGTTCAAAACACGAGAGAGGGGACCAAATCCTATCAACTGCGTGTAAAATGATATTTCAAAGCACGAGGGACGGGGCCAGATCCCAACGTGAAAAGCGTGTAAACGGATTGTAGAACGAGTGGAGAAAATCCCTCCGTCAGTTGCATGTATATAATGATTGCAGCACGATGGTGGGAAACAAAACACTGCGGATTATTCATGACCTTTACTTACAGCTTTTTGTCAGATAATAATAAGATCATGATAGCTTTTCCCTCACGCCCTAAATACCTAACACCGGAAAACAATTCCCTGGAGGGCAAACACACGTAAACACGCCTTGATGTAGATACCTAAAGCAATGAACTGGTCCACTGGAGAGAAAAGACTTGTCAAGTTTGTTTGTGAACACTGTTTGAGTCTAATACTCACATTCAGTCGGGCTGTGTGAATGAACTGCGCTGTGGGGTTGTTTAACAGTATTCTCTCCCCTAGAATGTTACTGCCGTACGCAAAGTACAGGAAGCGTTTAGCCATGTTAGAGTACGACCCTCGACGAGGAATGTGATGGACCGACCCATACAAGAGATGTCTCGCTTATGTTGCACAAGCTTGACTCACCACATTCCTAGTGATCGAATACACTTAAATCACACATCACTGCATCACTTTATCGTGCTGCGAACATGATAGACTACATATCGTTGCCTTCATTACAATTATTCAAGCGGACAGATTGTGGAAGATCTCGACTTACCGTCCTAATGGTTTATTACATATACGTGTGTTCAAACGTAATGGTGGTAGAATAAGTTGGGTGAACAATGAACTTATATTACTGGAAATCTGTAATGAAATACGAATATTTGGATCGACTTGCGATCACATTCCATTATCTGTGGTTGATGATGAACAAGCTGTCAAGCTAAGGCAACAGTAGTGCCCTCGTTTATACACACATTTTGAGGTGAGGTGAGGTGAGGAGAAATTGGGTTTAACGTCGCGTCCAAGATTATTGCACTTATATAGCGACGTGCATGCACGTGTGTGTGTGTGTGTGTGTGTGTGTGTGTGTGTGTGTGTGGCTGCTTGTACTAGTCCGGACTGATGCTGATTTATAGTGGTAGCCCACTGTGATACCATGCCGCAGTTAAACATTAATACAGGGAAACACCTGATCAATTTATGGCAATGGAAGGAAAAATAAGAACAAGCTTTTGAACATCTCAAGACATTACTGGCTTCACCACTTGTCCTTGCACACCCGGATTACAGCCAGCCATTCGCGCTGCATACATATGCTAGTGGACGAGGACTTAGCGCAGAGTTGTATCTGAGTCAAGATGGAGCAAAGAGGGTTATCAGCAATGCGAGCATAGGACTTACCAAGTCAGAAACCAACTACCCAGCTTATCGACCAGATTTCCTTGTGCTGAAGTGGGCGGTCAGTGATCTGTTTCACGACTAAATCTTTGGAGTAAGGTTTACAGTGCTAACTGATAACAACCCTCTTACCCACGTCCTCACCAGTACCAGCTTAGTCACCGATGGCTAGGTACTCTCTCTGCTTTACTTTGCGACATTCACTACAGCAAGTCTCTCAGCAAGTTCAGTGGATGAGGATCTTCACACGGCGGCAAATGACCTACGTGGAATAACAGACAGGGAATGGCGTATGGCACAAGCTGCAGATACAACTTCACCTTCTTGGATACAGGCAGTACGTAACACGAAGAAACCAAGAGACGAGATTTCCCTCATACATCTTTATATCGGAGCTTCTATTCTCGTGTTGGGTTTGTGTTGTGTTGTGTTGTGTTGTGTTGTGTTGTGTATGATTGTGTGTATTTATATAATCTTACCATACAAAATCACTAGTATATATATATATATAATATTCTGCATATCTATTTCAGCATTATTATGTAGATTTGTGATTGCAACGCTTGCCGTGTGTGTATTTATTACAAGTTCAGGTTTCACCTATCTGGTATGTAATATCATCTCAGATATGTTATATGTATTCTATGTTCTATGTAATTGTAATACTTCCTAAAGTTACATACAGTATGTTCTTTATCACTTTACAATTGTATTACTATATTTTGTATCTCTGTACATTAATGCAATTTACAGACATGTGCAATACTAGATGGATGTTATATTAGTTATTAATTAATGAAAGCGATATGTATATTTTATCATTTCAAAGAGTTACTGTAACATATTGTATATATTCATCAGATTCTCTTTTATCTTTGCTTATGATTTAATTTCATTGTTTCAGGCTGGCGTAGGTACATGCTTCATACAATACATTCTCAATAAACGTCATCACCCCACACCCCAGAACTGTTGGTGGTCTTTTGGGACGCTATCCCTGCCGGCCCAAACTTAGCGATCGTACATAAACATTGAACATATGATGTTTTTGTAGATACACTGCTGTGATTGTAATATATAGATTCTGGAAGCTCGAGATTGTTTTAATAACGCAAATACAATATTTAGATTCAGGAGGCTCGATATTGTTTTAATATAGCAAATACAATTACAGCTGTTAGGGAGCTAATTTTTTAAAAATAAATATGAACGTAAATGATATTCCGACTTTACGACGATTGACGGTAAACAAATAACTTTCGTCCAGAAACAACCCAGGCCCTCATAACTATCATTCAAACTATGACACTGAAGAATGCTCATAAAGAGGTTTCCATTTTCTACTGAAACCTTTTTGAAACATATTAAGCTTTCCCACACCAAAACAGTGCGTATGAATACGTCGATAGCCTCAATATCGATCCATAAAAAAATGGTTGCAGATCACCCATAAGAATGCATACAGTATCAATATTTCCTCTGTTAGACACTGGTTCTCTAATGTAAGCCAGGTCTCGAATGAAGTCGGGTCAACGGCTCTCTCGAAATCAATGGATGCCCAAGCGTCTAATAGAGGAAATACGGTACAAAAGATGCAATCTATGATGAAATGCATTTTTGTTTCAATGTCCCAATTTGTCATGAGTGAAATCAGTTGCTACTAACTACTGTAAATATCCTACCACTGTTAAATTTTCAAATGTAATGTCTTGTGATTTCAAGCACTGACTAGTTAAACTGACAAACTATGTTTCAGAAATACGCATCCTTCATTATTCGTATGCTCATATATTCCTTTCTCTGTGAAGATCCGGGGTGAAAGGGGGCGGTCGGGTAGCCTTGTGGTTAAAGCGTTCGCTCGTCACGCCGAAGACCCGGGTTCGATTCCCGACATGGGCACAATGTGTGAAGCCCATTTCTGGTGTCCCCCGCCGTGATAGTGCTGGAATATTGCTAAAAGCGGCGTAAAACCATACTCACTCACTCACTCCGGGGTGAATGAGGTCTTCAGCAACGCTTGTCGTAAGAGGCGACTAACAGGATCGGGTGGTCAGATTCGCTGGCCTGCATTATACATATCATCGTATCCCAATTATGTGGATCGATGCTCATCA